ACAAAGAAAACTGTCCTTTAATAGAAAGGAAAGGTACAGGGCAGGGTGTAGCTTGGTGGAATGCTAACCTGTCTAAATTAAGAAAGAGTTCACGTAAGCTCTTAAATAAAGCAATGAAATCAGGTTTGGAACAACACTGGGAATCCTATAAGGACGCCCAAAGGAACTACAAATCTGCATTGAAAAAGTCCAAAAGAGAAAGCTGGAAGAAGTTCTGTGGGGATATACAACAACTCCCTATAGCAACTAGACTTCTGCGATCACTAAGGAATGGACCAAACAAAACTGTCGAGGCAATACTACTGCCAGACGGAATGTTCACCAATAATGATAATGAAACATTATCACATTTGATGAACACACATTTTCCTGACTCTACAATTAACAACAGAGAACAGGAACATGATGCACAGGACAAACGTGTGACCTGTGCTGATTGGAGACTAACCAGGAAAGTGATAACCCCAAGTGGAATAAGATGGGCAATAAAAGCCTTTGGCAGTTTTAAAGCTGCAGGCTGTGACGAAATTTTCCCTGCACTTCTGCAAGAAGGGTTAGAGATAATCGTCCCCCATCTCTGCAAAATATTTAGGGCATGCCTTGCCTATGGTTATCAACCAGAAAGCTGGCGTAAGGTTAGGGTAGTGTTTATACCCAAACCTAACCGCACTAACTATTATGAAGCAAAATCCTACAGACCAATAAGTCTTACTTCTTTTCTTCTTAAGACTATGGAGAAACTTATTGATAGGTACATCAAGGAGGGGCCTCTTAAGGAGAACCCTTTACATGAAAACCAACATGCGTATCAAACGGGGAAATCTACTGATACAGCTCTACACTGCTTAACTACTAAGATAGGGAAAGCTGTAGAGAATAAAATGTATGCAGTAGGTATATTCCTGGACATCGAAGGGGCTTTTGACAATACTCCCTTTGATGCTATGTGTGAATCTGCACAACAGCGTGGAATAGAACCACTTATTATTAAGTGGATAGAATCCATGCTTAAGGAACGCTCCATTTTGGGACAGCTCAATGAGACCAAAGTAATCAAGAGTGTCAAACAGGGATGCCCACAAGGCGGGGTTCTATCCCCCTTGCTATGGTGTCTAGTATTGGACTCGCTTATTAGAGAGTTAAACAAATATTGTTATACACAAGCCTATGCGGATGACTTGGTTATAACAGTGGTGGGTAAATTCCCAGACACTATTATTGACTTAGCACAACAGAGACTTAACACTATACAGATATGATGTAGTAAGTACGGTCTATCTGTTAATCCAAATAAAGCAGAAGTTGTTATGTTCACTATAAAGAGAATAGGACTAGACAACCTAGACACTCTTACTCTGAATGGACAAGAAATTAGCTTAAAATCAGAAGTAAAATACTTAGGTATTATCTTGGATAGTAAGCTAAAATGGAAATCACATGTTGAGTCAAGAATCAAAAAAGCAATGACCACATTGTGGACTTGCAGCAGAGCCTTGGGAAAGACATGGGGTCTTAAACCAAGAGTTATGTATTGGTTGTACACGTCAGTGATTAAACCTATGATATTGTACGGTGCCCTGGTCTGGTGGACCAGAACAGCACTCATTACAGCTAGGAAAGAACTTAGTCGCATACAGAGAATGGCTGCTATTGCCATCACTGGAGCATTAAGAACTACACCAACGGTCGCATTAGAGGCACTAATTGGATTGCCTCCTCTGCATCTAGAGGTGAAAGCTCACGCCAAAGCTACAGCACTAAGATTCCACAACTTAGGTATGTGGACTTTGGAGAGTGATACAACAGAACATGGTAAAATACTAAAAGAGATAGACAAGGGCTTTTTAGAATACCCCTTGGACTATATCAAACCGGTTCTTAAGAATAACATTCCCTACAAAGTGGAGATCACTACACGTATAGAATGGAATATTAACCACCTGACTGACAAAGGAGGATTTGTGATATATACAGATGGATCCAAAAAATCAGGAAAGGTAGGTGCTGGAATTTGGGGCTTAAAGCCACGAATAAATGTCAGTATGTCATTGGGCACAACACCCTCTGTTTTCCAAGCAGAGGTGATGGCGATACTGGTAGGGGCTCAGAACCTGCTGGTATACAAAAATAGGAAGATAACTATCTTAAGTGATAGTCAAGCGGCTTTGAAAGCACTCTGTAACGATCAGGTGAATTCAAAGCTGGTCCTCGAATGCAGGGAAACTTTAGAATCACTATCGAGGTTCAACAAAGTTACACTAGCGTGGGTACCAGGACACAACGGTGTCACTGGAAATGAGAATGCTGACTTTCTAGCCAGGAAAGGAGCAGAGAACACCTATGTTGGACCAGAACCAGTGGTAGGGCTCACTGAGCAATCGCTCAAAGCGTTACCCAAGAATTGGTGCAGAGAACAACACAGGAAAATCTGGAAGTACTTGGTAGTACCTAGACAATCTAAAATGTTTATCAAGACCCCTGGTTTATTGCTGGGTGATCTTAATAGCATGACTAGACATCAAATAAGCACCCTGACTGGTCTACTGACAGGACATGGTCACCTGCTTAAGCATCTTAACGCAATGGGGGTATCGGAATCACCATTGTGCAGAAAATGTGGAGTAGAAGAGGAAGACTCATTTCACATCATGTGCGAATGTGAAGCCTTGTCCACACTAAGATCAAACTACTTGAATAAACCATTTCCTGAAAAAGAGGATATTAAAAACCTAAAACCCAGGGAGATACTTAATTTCGCCAGAAAGACAGGACTCTTTGGTCATCTCTAGAGGTGACTTTATGGTTGGTAATGTATTAACACTTTGGTGATAACACTTAGGTGGGTAAACCGAATCAAGACAATTCGGTATGAGGTGCGCACAATGGACCAACAGGTCTGAGTGCATGGGCATTATGTCCACCTCAATAATAACTAAAACTAAAACTAAAACTAATATACTGTATTATGAAAAAATAAAATTTTAGGACTTTATTTTGTCTTCACAGTGAAAATGATAACAAAAGATCACAAATCGTATCTATTTGAAGACATTACCCTCAAAAATTGAAAAAAAAATCCCCCGTTACCCGTAAATGGGGAAAACCTCCAAAAAAATTACAAATTTAAAAATCGCTAATTTTCAAAATTTTTTTACTAAAAACTGCCGTGACTTATTCAAAAGTGAACATATCAATATATTTTTTTTTTTACATAGATGCATGATATTATTACCTTTCATTTGGTATAATTTTTTTCTGCCCACAGGGGGGGATTTAAAATGACAACTTTTTCACAAAAAATTAATTTTTTCAACTTGACTTTTGAAAATGTTTCGGAAAGTCTGACACTTTTATATATATCTTAAATTAAAGCTAATGTAATGTACTTAATTATGAAAAAAAAAAATTTGACCTCTGGACTTGTCTTCATAGTGAAAATGGCTACCGAATGCTATTTTTGTATGAAAATTCTCGATTTTATTTTTTACATTTTTAACTTTATAATGCCATAACTTATTGAAAAGTGTATGGATCAACACAATTTTTTTATGAAAATTAATATTTTTTTATAATCCCTTTTTCATTCGACATACTTTATCTTAATCAGGATATTAATAAGGAACTAGCATATCATGTAGCTTTTAGAATAAAACACCAATTTTTTAAAATTAAACACTATCTAAAGATTTGCATCGAAGCGTTTTATTTTGATAGTGATTTTAATCACTATCAGATATCATTATACTTGATCCAACTATGCCTCGTCATCACTGTGCCGCGATCCCCCTGTGCTGGGTTTTTTGCTTTTGTATTTATCCACCAATTTCTTAGAATTAAACACTATCTACAGATTTGCATCGAAGCATTTCTAATGATAGTGATATTAATCACTGTTAAATTAAATCTATACTGGACCGAACTACGCCCAGTCCCCACTGTGCCGCGGCCTCTCTGTTCTGGATTTTTTTACTATTTAATAATGTCAATTTCTAACTTGCAAGTTGAGCTATAAGTTAAGGCAATAAATTTATTTATTTTTTATTATAAACTTTCACTAAAAAAAGTAGGTTAAAAATTATTACTTTTAACATATTAAAATTCAAAATTAATAATAATTTAAAAACAATTAATTATAAAAATTATATAATATATAATTAAAAAATATGTATTTTATTTTTTAATCTAAGTATTATTAATCTGGATATAATTAAGGAAATAGAAGTTGATGTTGCTTTTGTAATTATCCACTAATTTCTTAAAATTAAACACTATCTAGATTTGCATCGAAGCGTTTCTTATGATAGTGATTTTAATCACTGTCAGATTAAATATATACTTGACCCAACTATGCCATGTCGCCACTATGCCGCGACCCCCCTGTGCTGGGTTTTTTACCCACCATTATTAATTTGCTTACGCTGCGTTTTCTCTTTATATGACATTATTATATTGCTAACGAATTTAGAAATTTCTTACTACTGTTGTAAAACTTATATTATACTAGTATCGACGTTATTTAATACTTCCACAGATATTTACCACATAACATATATTTGAAGTTCAAAGTATTTCCAGAAAATTTTTAAAACTTAAATAGAAAAAAATGTTATTTGAATACCCTTCTGTGAGCAGATAAAAGTTCACATTTGCTAATAATATATATCACATAAAAGAGTAATACCTACAACAAAAATTTATTTCATATAATTTTTTTTCGTTCCTTTTTAAAAAAATTATGGTATTTAAAATTTTAAAAAGTTAAAAAAATGTCATGAATTAGCAATTTTCAATTTTTTTTTTTTAGCAATTCGCCTTATTTAAATGAAACGAGAGAATTTTTTTCAACTTTCAAGTGAAATTTATCTAACAAGATAGGCTTTGTAATCTTATAATGTATCACTGAAAATAATCGTTCGGTGAATAAGTGGCAAAAGATTAAATAAAAAAAATATCATAATAAGATAAATATCTTCCCAGCATCATATTCAAACTAAAAAAAAATTTTATTTCAATAATTAAGTGGTAATTATTATACTTATATTTCAAATAAAACTGATATTTCATTTCTCTAAAACAAAAATTTCAAGAAAATACAGTCAACTTATTATTAAATATTGAAACAAAAATCACATTAACTAGATTGAATTTAATTTTTTATAAGTAATTGAGGACTGATTAATACAGGTAGCAAACGGTTTATGTAAAAATCAATTAGCTGATTTTCCATATTGTTTTTCCAAAATTCGTCATCACGATCTATTTTTGTATATAACATTCCTAAGAAAATCAACATTAAAATTAACAAAATAATAAATTATAGAAATTAATATTTAAAAATAATCTCGTGAAATTGTTTAAGTTTCATTTAATTTTTTCTATATATACAGAATAGAACAGATCTAACTGAGAACTCATATAACTTATGAAAAAAGTGTAAAATGTTATGTACATTTTACACTTTTTTTTTTAATCAATATTTACAATATAGAATTATATTTAAAATATGTTTTATGTTACTTTTCGCAATTACAAAAAAAATATTTTAAAAATTAATTTTTTTTTAAATTTGAAGATAAGTTTCAATTTTATTGATAAATTTTAAAGAAAAATGTTAATACAAAAAACTCTTTTAAAGATATTACGTGAGTCATAGTTAGCCAATCACTCTGTACATTTATTTATTATTAGAATTTTATAAACAATTATTATCATGCATTACAATTACAATTCTTGAATTTCCTTATGATTATAACTTTTTCATTTATAAATATTTCAATATTAGATTGTACTAGACAATCAATTTGTGTCTATAAGCATAATATATTATGTACATGCGTAGTGAAGAGCAAACAAGGTTTGGCGTTTTTCAATTTCTGTCTTAGTATTTGGGGTTATATATTTAGTCTTGGTTTTAGTCTATTATAGTGTATTATTGTTTTCAATAGCTGTTTTATTTGAAAGTCAAAAATTGACATAAAATAGAAAGATTAAAATATTACTTATATCCGTCTTTAAAAAAATTAACATAAAGTGCAATCTCACATAATAAAATACTCCCATTGTTTCTATAATAAAAGTAAACTAGAATCAAATTCAAGAAAGAATAAAACTTTCCCCAAAATAATCCGTTCTTGAACATTTGACCATAAAATCGGAATCATTAAGGAATCCTGAACTTTATTTAATAATGTCTGTAACTGACTACCAATCAATTATTTAAAAAACTTTTCCCAGCAGTGCGTCATGATACTACAGGTAATTCAACCCGAATTCAGATGATTTTTTAGCAACTTTTTTTACCATTAATTAAAAATTAAATTTCTAATATTTTGTTATACAAAATCCAATCTATAAAAATACCTTTTTGAGTCCAAATAATTAAATAACAATACTGTCTTTTTGTTATATGCAATTCTCCTTGTATTTGATAAAAACAATCAGACTGGGGTTTAATTATAAGATTTCCATTATTATTAATGTAGAGGTATTTTATAATATATCTTTTAATAGCATCTTCAGGAGGCATGTATTTGGCGTTAAAAGGACATTTCACTTCAACAATACCATCCTTTCCAATCAAACCATCTGGACTTGCAACTAAATAGTTCAAATTTTCATCAATAAATACACCACATGGTTCAATCTTTATATTCATTTTGTTTTCAAATTCATTTATTGCTACTTTTTCGTAATAAATGCCATAATTTTTGTTGTGTCTAAAAATTAAATGATAATGTTTTTAAAAATAAAAAAAATATTTATTGTATTCATTAATGCACATACATCTACAGAAGACGAAATACAATAAGAAAAAAGACTCTTATTAATATATACTGTAAGAACATTTATTACTATATTCTTACCACTTATATTACACACGTTTTATTTCTATTTATTTAATTCGTAATACATATTAATTAGCATAGAGGGAGATGCTGATGTGACAATTCTACTCGTCTGTAGTCCGGAGCTACTGACGTCGAACTAACAAAGGGCAGTTGTGTTTGAGTGGCCGTTATAGACATAGTTTTCAATATTATTACTTACGTCTTATTTATATTATTTATAACTTAACTTGTTTTATTCAACGACCCGTCTATCGCCAATTGTCATCATAGCCAACCAACTCCGTCTCACTTGGATATACCTACTAACCAACTGTACTAGGATTCAGGTCAGACGTATGTACAATTACATATAACTTATATTTACTAAACATCTAAAATATAACTTTACTTTGTCGTTGACATAAAACAATAGTCTAATTTTATTTAATAATCTATCCCCTGTAACTAAGGTACACGATTGCCTGTGTCTCCTTCAGGCAATTAAAACTCATTTAAGGAGATAGGGACGATATTTGGGCAGACGTCGGGTAGCTTCCGATTCTTGGTTTTGACCAAGATCCTCAACTATTAAACAAGCCCCTAACAATACATATACGAATAGAAAAGATAAGTAAAAGCAAAACAAAAATATAGAAGATAACAAAGCTACAATATGAAAAGAGAGAACATTTAAATAAACTATTGGGATCCAAAGCTTACATAACATACTTAATAAATATGAAACAATGTAGTACGATTGTTTAAAACTTTATTTTTTGAAATGGTGATATACATATTTATATAATTGTCGTACGTCGGTAGTGCCCCGACGTAGACACAGCAAGTAATACACAAATTAACTAATGTTTTTGACGACGAGTTCGTCGTTTTTAGCTCTTCTCGAGTTCCCGTTGGATACATTGGTCAGCTTCAATCCCTCCAATTAGTAAACTACTTAAGAGGTAGAGTTGAGACCCATCAGCACGGTCTAGCTCAAAAGTAGTAGACTGAAGAGTGGCTTCTTTAAGTCACCAGCACAACTACCTTTTCACTATACCTACTAAAGGATGGTTAAGCCCAAAAATTAGCTAGCACGCACACTAAATATTAAAATCGACTAAAAGATCAACAGTCCAAATTCGACTTTTGCCACACAGACACACACAATTTCAACAGTACAGTGGATATAAAATATTTACACTAAATGCAGGTTTTTAAATAGTTATTTTATTTAAGAAACGAAATAAACACAAAGTCAAAATGTATTATAAAAATGTAACACAAAATAAATTAAATCGTACAAAATACAAAGTTACTTGCGTCAAACGTCCTGACCCGTAACTCGACGTTTCTTTGTCAAAACCTCCAGGTCCCCTATACTTTTCATGTTTCCCTTTTATATTCATTTTCTCACCATTATTAATTTACTTACCCTGCATTTTCCCTTTATATTACATTATTATATTGCTTAATTAAACATTATACTAGTAGATTAAATCAAACCCAACTCAACGAATAAATATTTAGTAGATTTTTAATAAGACCCAGCTTAACATTTTATGATAACATAGAATCTAAAAATTTACTATGAAAAGAATCGAAAATAAAATTTAGAGAAAAATATCCAAAAAAGATCCAATTGCACAAAATAATATGTTACGCCTATAATTGAAGAGAAAACACCAGGTATATGATGAATAAACAATTGGTTTTATTACCAAAATTGAAGCATTATGTAAAATAGATGATAAAAATATGGCTGAGGAAGAATTGTATAAAATGTAATAAAAGTTTTAAAGTTGAGTATTGCTAGATACATAGGAAATCTTGAAAAACGTAATTTAGATGAGCTAACAAGAAATTAAAATATGAGATCACTATGTTTTTCTATTATTTTCATTATTCTCAAAACTCTCGAACTCATACTCCAAGAGTAATTATTATTAAAAATAATAAATAGTAACTCAAATCCAACCAAACTCAACTACTACTCGATATTATATTTTTTCTTTTCTTTGGAGATATTATAAAACAACGCTTGTAACAAACATAATTTTATTAAACATATAGTACTCAAAAAAAAAATTAAGAAAAAAGGGTCACTAGGTAGGCCCAAGTTATGTTGGGACTATAACTTCATAAAGGCTATAAATAACAGAGGAAAAAATTTCAAGTATGGGACTAAAAAAAGATAAAGAAAAAGGATAGAAGAGTATTTATTCTGTGACAATATAGTCTTAAAGGCTTAAAAAAAATATTTATTCTAGTAAATTTTATCAAATTACTCGTATCATTACTCACAAGTTATTTTCGATTATAATGACTTCATTTTTTTTGTTGTTGTGTGTTATTTTTTTCAATATTCTCTCTCCAGGCGTTGTTGGATTTATTTTACATGCTTGAAAAAAATAACTAGCCTTAAGACGTTTTCCTTGAATTTTTTCCTCTGTATGCCAACTTCCGCCACTTACAGTATTTTTCTCATAAGTTTCAATTTCGAGTTTATTTAATTTAATACTATTAAGAAAATCATATTTTTTTTTTTCAAAATCTGGGTCAATTTCTTTTTTTTGTTGGTTTGCTATAACAGTATAAAAGAAATAAAAAGTAATTTAATCGAAAATAAAATGGAAAAGTACACTAATACTCAATAAAATTGATAAACATTAAATCAATTGACAAATTAATATAATATTAAAACTCGTATAACAATTTTATACAAGTTTTTTATAAATGACTAAGGATAAACTAGTATACTTTAAGTGTTACCTCTGTAACTTAAAAACAATAATGATACATAAAATCTAATTAAACTATTTTTTCAGTGTCAAAAATTGTACATGATTTTGCCGTATCATTTATTTTAAAATATATTTAATATTTGAATTAAATATATTTTAATTTTTATAAAAATATTGGGATAGTATCAAATTTTTAAATTTTAACCGTGCATTACTGTTAACAACAATTATTTCAATATTTAGTTAAGCTAGAAACATAAAATTACATTTTTAAAATACTTTTAAAATTTCCTATTAATCACCAAAATAATATATTTATTGGTTTAAGCTAAAAAAGTTATAAAAATTCAAATTAGATGACTTTAAAATGACTGTATAAATCAAATTTAAAATCCATGTGTAGTGATTTAAACTTAAAATATAATAATCAAATTTGCAGACACCTCATAAATATAACCCAATGTAAAAACATAATATCAATAATGGTATTTTTTCAAAAAATTTTTTTTTGAAGTGAAACTTCTTTACAGGGGGTTTGAAAAAAAAATATTATGGGACATTACGGTTCGTTTTACAGTTGACCAAAGTAGACATTACGGTCGGCTGTAAAGTATATTTTATATTATAAAATAGCACTGTATTTTCGAAAATTGAAGTAATTTTATTTAAAATTCATTAAATTTAATTTCAAATAATTTTGATAGTGCATAAAAAAATTTTATTAATGAACATCCGCACACACTCGTAACACGAATTGGTTTTTTTAATTTTAATCAACAATTAATTACGTAATCACCTAATTATCATTAATTAACTATTATCTCAAAAACTAGAACTGTTTAATCTTATACCATTTTTGGATAGTTGTAAGCATAAACGTAGGATAGCCAATTTTTTTTGGCGAGATCTAATTCTAATTCCGACTCTAATTTTCTCTCCAAAACATTATTTCTATATAACAATGAATATAATTGCTAAATTTCTGGTGTGGCTTAATTGTAAACTATGGATTAAGTCCTCTCACTCCACTCCTGATGTTTTCTTTAGCAATAACTTGTTACATAAAGAAGAAAATCTCTTAAGCCTTCTTTAACTATACTTACAGGATAATAATCTGCAAAATTTCTAAAATTTATTATATTTAAGAACAAATAATTCTTAATATTTATTAGNGACATTACCCTTCAAAATTGAAAAAATTTCCCTCGTTCCCCGTAAATGGGGGAAACCTCCAAAAAATTTACAAATTTAAAAATTGTTAATTTTCGAAATTTTTTCAATTTTTTTTACTAAAAACTGCCGTAACTTTTTCAAAAATGAACGTATGAATATAATTTTTTTATATATAGATGCTTGATGTCTTTACCTATCATTTGATATATTTTTTTTGTAAATCTGACACTTAACCTGCCCACAGGGGGGGATTTAAAATGACAACTTTTTCACAAAAAATTTACTTTTTCAACTTAACTTTTGAAAATGTTCCGGAAGGTCTGACACTTTTATATATATCTTAAATTAAAGCTAATGTAATATACTTTAATTTGAAAAAAAAAAATTTGACCTCTGGACTTGTCTTCACGGCGAAAATGGCTACCGAATGCTATTTTCGTGTGAAAATTCTCGATTTTATTATTTATATTATATTTAACTTTATAATGCTATAACTTATTGAAAAGTTTATGGATCCACACAATTTTTTTATGAGAAATAATATTTTTTAATAAACCCTTTTTCATTCGACATACTTTATCTTAATCGAGATATTAATAAGGAACCAGCAGATCAAGTAGCTTTTGGAATAAAACACCAATTTTTTTAAAATTAAACACTATCTAAAGATTTGCATCGAAGCGTTTATTTTTGATAGTGATTTTAATCACTGTCAGATATCATTTACTTGATCCAACTATGCCACGTCACCACTGTGCCGCGACCCCCTTGTGCTGGGTTTTTAATTCTAGCTATATAATAAAATGTCAAACTATTATTTTGAAAAATTTGATGGTGCAAGGTATATACCAAAGAAATGGCTACAAAAAATGTACCCAAAAGATTAGATAATTAATTAATGTGTGATAAATTATAATTATTAGGACAATACAAAAGAAAATTATGTTTTGTTGTCAATTATTATTATTATTGTTATTGTTACAATAAATTCATTTATAAAAAAATTAGTATACAATAAAATAATACTTTATTTTTTTTTTTTTATTGTTTTAACTTGATTTAAATAAAATAAAATTATTTAGGTATTTTTTATAAATATTATTTTCTTATTCGCAATAAATTCTCAAATAATTATGATATTTTTTCTAAAATCACATTCTATACAATATTTTCAAAAAACTCATTGTTTTAAAATAAATTGACTAACTAGAGCTTAAAGAATAACCTAGTAGTTTCACAGTAGTTATCAACTATATATTTTAAAATATCAACATAAGGGAGACCAAGGATAATAGTCATAAAACTTGTCTAGCTAATCATAAAATATATTTTAAATTGAAAATTTTTATTTTTTATACTTTTTAAATTATAATTTTTTATAGGTATTAGTAATAAATAATGACTATTAATCAATTAAAATATTCCATTGTATTTTTATGAAATATTGTAGTTAAGATAAATGTATAAGTAAATATATTATTTTGTTTAAAATAAAGTTTAAACATTTTTTTATGAGATAATCCTTAGTAACTAAAGTCTATTGTCACAAATTATTAAATTTTAAATAAAGCTTTTTTATGTGCTTTATCTATAATACGACGGTTTGATATTTTTTCAAGAAGTAGATAATATATTGTATTTTATAATATACTTGTCACTTCTAAAAAGATAACAGTTACCTTTTCAAAACAAAATATAATAGAAAAATAGTGAAAAACAACCCCCGTCACCCTTACATATTAAACTATCTTATAAAATAGAAAATTACCTAATTAAGAAAACAAACTTTCTTTAAATGAAGAATAACATTTGGACAAATACTTCAGAAGTTATTCATATATCTATACCAAGGTGATAAACAGAGTATGACCAGGAAATTTCTAATCATTAAAAAAGTAGCACCCAATGTGAATATACATATGTAACTAAAAAAAGCCAAAAAATATATTATTTTAAGAGAAGTCGAGTGACTAATATTACAAAAATTGTTTTTTTATGAATAATATAAACATTGAGGGGGTTATAACAAAATTATTATACATATTCCAAAAAGAAAAAACCCCGAAAAAGCTTCTGGTTAATTACTATATGAAAAATTACTATAATATAATATATAAATCAATATAAAAAACTATATGTAATTACAATTACAAATAAAATTACCTTTTTTTATTAAGAAATGAGCTATTTTGCTCAACTTAATTGCACAAGGAATACTTATTTTCAATAAAATTTTCCTCATATAACTTTTAACGCTATCAGAAATTTTGAATCGACTCAAAATTTTTGGATTATCGATAGTTAAAACTGAAGTAAATGATGCAAAAAATTGATCAGATCTTTTACAATTTTCGCAAAATTCATTCATAGATTTTAATAATAATGGATCATTAATATAGTCCAATATATCTTCAAACGATTTATTCTTATCTTTTTCAAGACTCACCATATTAATAACATTCATTGAAAAGTTAAATTGCCATGAGTTAACTATATACTTGCCATAAATAAAAAATGAAATCATTTTTATCGCGTAATCTCTCACATATTTATATATTAATATGAATTTATGATTTGAATGTTCTTTCCATTTCCTAATATCGCTTTTAAAAACATTTAAAATTTGGAGACTTAAAAAAACATGAAAACATTCCAAAGATTCAAGAATTCTTTTTAAATTGCTTAAACTGTTAATTTTTTTTTGTCTACAAATATAATCATCTTCACAGGCTTTTGATAGTAATTCTACATCATCTGGACTTATTAGTGAATAATTGATACTATTTTTATCTTTTACATTAATCCATTGTATTATATCGTGTTCAATTGTACTTATTACATTTAAAAATGAATTGTCGAAAATGGTATTATAATCAGGAGCCTAAAATTTTTGTAAAGATAACAAAAACTATTGTTAATGTATTCATTTTTTAATTAAATATTGTGTTTTATATGAAGTATTTGTTATTAAAACAGGTGAATAACAATGTATACGTATTGACGTCGAAATTCAACGTTTTATAGCTATGTAATTTTAAAAACAAATTAACTTTTATCATTGTAGTGTGAAAATAGAATATACAGATCAATTGTTACGAATAATGAGAACAATAGTAATATTTTTCCTTACTTCACACCCTATATGTTTTTTTTTCTTTTTAATTAAAAAACAACCTGTACAATTTAAATTTACAATAATTTTTTTTTTGACACTTTAAATAATGACATTAAAAACATTAAAGGAAGTCACCCATTGGTAACACATTAATTAGATAATTTAAGTTATACTTTTGTTAAGATTGTATTGTTGGCGTTGTTTTGTTAAGTTAAAATCACGGTTCCATTTTCGTTTAAGTCGACGTGGTGGGTTATCAGGTATTGTAAAAGTATGCATTATTTTTATTAAAGAGTTTGTGTTTGTGTTAAATTTTGAGAGGAATCTAGTGTAGTGTAAAGTGACAAGTTCTTTGACTACTTTAATGTTAAGTTCTTTGTGTTAAGTTGTTGTTTGTTACATACCAGGGCGCGCCAGTGATCATTCTTAATACTATGTTTTGGAAAGCTTGTATTGGTCGGATATTTGATAGATTGGCTGGTCCCCATATCTGGATGCCATAAGACCAGACTGGTCTGATTAATGACTGATAAATGAGTATTTTTGTTTTAAGCGGTAGTTTGGATTTCAGTAGTTGACGAAAGAGATGGAGTCTGCTGTTTGCATTTTTCCTTTTGTCTTTAAGGTGAGTTCCTCAAGTGAATCGTTTGTCCAATATTATTCCTAGGTATTAGGTTTCGTTTTCTTTATTAATTAATATGTTGTTAAATGATATAGCTGGACATTTTTCAGAACGGAGGGCGAATGTTACATGACTTGATTTATTTTCATTAATTTTTATTTTCCAGTTCTTGAACCATGATTCCATAATGTTTACATGCGTTTGAAGGTGGTGGGCTGCTTAAGAAATATTACTATGAGTAGAAAGTAAAGCCGTATCATCGGCAAACGTAGCGAGAAGAGTATCAGTAGTCTGGTGTATGTCTGCAGTAAATATATTGTAAAGATCGGGAGACAGGTCGCTTCCTTTTCAGCAAAGGTTCTAGCTTTCTCTTCGTTTGATATAGCAAGAATACCGTTATCTTTGAGAAGAGGTGGGGTAGTTTTTTTAGTTTGAGTCAGTCGTTTTGTAGCTCTCCATAATGATTTATCCTTAATGTTGAGTGATTGAATGTAATTTTGATATTGGGCTGATTTGAATTTTTGAAGTTGGTTTTTTAGGTAATTAGCTAGTTTGTTATAGAGTTGTTTGAACAAGGGGTAACGAGTGTTTTGCCAAATAGACCTTATTCTTCTTTTCTCACTGATAAGAGCTCTCATATTAACTGGAAGTTTTACTTTGTTTCTACCATTACTCTTACTTAATGAGGATGAACTGTTTGCTGAGTTTTTAATTAGCGAAACAAAGTTTTAAGCCACGTTTTCGATGTCTTCATGGGTTTTAAGTGGAATTTTCAAATTAATATTTTTATTTAAATTGATTTTGAATTTATCCCAGTTAATAGGTCCTTTTGTGAGTGTTGGTCTTGTATTATAAGAAACTTTGCCATAATGAGTATAACAGGTAAATGGTCGCTGGTGATGTCACAAATAATTTTTATGATTGTACTTAGCTGGCTTGAAATATTTGTTACAAAAAATTCGAGTATATCAGGGTTTCGGTTTGCGTGGGTAGTCCAGTAAGTTGGCCCTGTTGGTTAAATAGTTAAATAGTATTTATTATTGATAACTGTAAGCAAATGTTTTCCTCTTTGATTATTACCAAAACAACCCAACCTTGGATGTTTGGAATTAAAGTCCCCACCCGCTATAAATGAGTTACTTAGGGAGTTGAAAAACTGCTGGAAGCCATCTTGACGTATACTATTATAATTTGGAGGGCAATATACCACTGATATAGTGATTGGTATGCTATTGATTTTTATAGACACACTTAAAACTTGTATAGATAGTTCTTGGTACGGACTTATTTCATCGTGTTGTGTGTTTTTTGAAATGTAAATGGTGGCCCCAGCATGAGCAGTGCCATCAGGGTGGTTAGTCTTATACATAGTGTAGTTGTAAATGTTAAAGTAATTATTGTCAGTAAAATGAGTTTCACTTATCAGTGCTATGTCTATTTTGTTATGGTTAAGTACAGTTTGAAATTCATTTTTGTGTGGATAAAGATCATTAGCGTTCCAAAGTAGTATTCTGATGATAGGATTTTAGTCATTTTTTAAAATAATTATATTAATTACAGTGGTTAGTAAGGATATCAAAGGATTAATTAAGGATTTCAAGTCATTTTAGAATGTGGAAAATTGTTTAGTGAGATCATTGTTATTAGTATTAGTTATTTCTATATTTTGTGATTTGTTTGAATAGTTATTCTATCGAGTTACTTTTGAGTACAAATCATGTGTGTTCGGTTCATACGCATTAATGTTTTCTAATTGATATTTATTGAAGTTATTGAATCTAAATGAGATAAATATCAAATGATTTGAAAAATGTTTTCTAACTCAAAAAAAATGCAAATTATCAATTGCCACAGGCGGATGCGAACCTCGTACCCTTAGCGTGAAAGACACAAGTGTTACCGATTTGGCAACTGTTCGTCGTTTTCGTCACATGATAAAATTAGCAATTTAAGCTAAGTCAAATACAAAAATTACTTTTTCGACTACAAAAAAATTGTAATAAGTTTAATTTCTTATGTCTTATGAACTTTATTCTATGTCAATTAAATTATATAATATTCATGAAAGTCATTCCCCTGTGTATTCCCCTTTTAAGATATTTTGAAATAAAATAAAATACAAATCCCAGAATTTTAACTCAAAAATAGCAAATTTTTGAATACGGTAGTCATTTTCAACAATGAAAATTAAAAAATTTTCATTTTATAGTACATAAAATAAGCTTTTATTTGATATGTGTTTAAAGGACGCAGTATTTCCGAAACATTTTCAAAAATTAAGTTGAAAAAGTTAGTTTTTGTAAAAAAGTTGCTATTTTAAATCTCCCCAGTGAGCAGGTTAAGTGTTAGATTTTCAAAAAAATGATATCAAATGAAAGGAAAATATCTAAGATTTTAGTGTAAAAAATTTTTTGTTTATTTGTTGATTTTTGAATAAGTTATGAAAGTTTTAAGAAAAAAAAGTGAAAAAGATTACAAAATTTACCAATTTTATAATTTGTAATTTTTTTGGAGATTTCCCCCATTTGCGGGGTACGAGGGAAAATTTTTGAATTTGTAAGGGTAATGTTTTCAACTAAATACGATTTGTGATCTTTTGACTTATTGTTGAAAGAAATCGGTCCAGTTAGAGCTGAGAAAAAGTGGCAACAGACATAACAAAAAAAAAAGAAAGCACATCGTGATAAAAGTAATACCTTCTCAGCTTCGCATCGAAGCTAAAATTTATAAGGTACCACAGGTATTCGTGATCGGATTTACCGTTCCATTACCCTTGTAAATATTATTAGATATCAACCAGACTGTACTTTATTACACCTCAGCAAAGAATTATTGCGTTTATTATTTTTATATCTCCTTGTCTTTGTTGTTCTAAAACCTCGGACTCTACAACCCCGACAGAACTTCGTTGCTCACAATTTGACCAGATCACCAAATATCCAAACCTTGGTCAAAATACCCATACATTCTTACAACCTTTTTAATATACTTTTATTTTGTTATTTTAAATTATAACACATTCCCCGAGATCCCTTTCTATTTCATTCTATTATTGTCACTGCCCAATACCTCTAGCCACCAATACTTTCCTTTACTTCCCATCATACTACCCCACACTATCCATTCTCTTTGTTTATTACCATCGTTCCTTTCTATCTTTTATTTTTGTTTATTAGACTATATATATAGGGTGATCAAAATCTGGTAAGACACTCATTTTCTCAGAAAATATTAAGAATTTTTAATTTTATTATAGAGAAAAAATATCAAGTTCAACAACTCTACAATAATATGTAGTCAAATCATTACTTTTTTCGTCCCTTCAAGGATAAAAACCCTTATTTATAATTTTCTTAAATGGGAAACCTTATTTTTAACTTTATAATATGATAGAAAAAAAAATTACAAACAATTTCGTTCTTATAATTTATTTTATAAGATTAACCGTTCGTCCGTTACAGCTTGTTAAAGTGATTTTAGGCCAAATTTCTATTGTCATTTTACTTTATTAAATACAAAAGTCATTATTTTTATTTGCTGTTGCATAAACCAAATTTTATTGATCAAGTTATGACAGGTAAATTAGCTATAAAAATTTACTACGCACTAAATGAATGATAACAATAATAGATTCCAACCGGGTTTGCGGTGTATTATTAATAGCTAAGTCTATGGTTTTGTAAGACTAAAGGATCTAAAAAAATACCAGTTTCACTGCCACCGATATTATGAAAAGTAATAAATGGCAATATTTTTTCTGGAAGTCAAAAACATTAAACAATTATATAACGTGAACGGTTGTTCGGATAAAAAAAATTATAAGAACAAAATTGTTTGTAATTTTTTTTTCTATCATATTATCAAATCAAAAATAGTGGTTCCCATTTTAAAATATTATAAATGAACATTTTTATCCCTGAAGGGATAAAAAAAAATTTTATTTAACTTTATATTATTATAGAGTTTTATTAACTTATAAATTTTTCTTTTTACAAAAACTTTAAATTCTCAATAGTTTCTGAGAAAATAAGTGTCTTATCAGATTTCGATCACTCTGTATATACAGAGTGTTCACTAAGTCAGGAAACGGGTTTCTATTGTTCTCATTGTTTGTAACAATGAGAACAATAGAAACCCGTTTCCTGATTTACTGAACACCCTGTATAAGTAGGTCTTAAGTAAGTAAAAATACGGGTTTCTATTGTTCTTATTATTTATAACAATTGACCTGTTTCTTTACTTAGTGAACATTTTGTATGAAAAAAAAGGATCCCTATACTTAATTATGTTCCATACATCCCAAAATCCCAATTGTGATAATAAAAAGAAACTATCAATTTTAAGATATGGAGAGATTAATAATTACTAAACTTTATATCATTTATACTTACTTGTATATCTATTTCATCATATACTGCGAAAACACAATGTGTTAAAAGAAGCATAAAAAAAACAATTTTCAAAATATCAGACAAATGAAAATTATTACTAATCATTTTTAAATTTATTTTTAAAGTACAAATATAATATGATGAATATTAGACTGAAAACAAACGTTTCTAATGTTTGAATCAAAACTAACAAATGAATTCATACATAATACAAAAAAAATGTATTATTTAAAAATATTTTTAATATTAATATAATATTTTAATTCATAGCATTTTTTTTCTATTTTAAACATATTTTATAAAGCAGTTAAACGAACAGTTTTTCTGAACAAATTTAAATGATAAATTGAATTATTTTTTGTTAAAATACATTTTTCTTGTCATACTATTAATTTTTATTTCTATACCTATATTTGTACAAGTATTTAAACATAATTTCTTAAATTCTACAACAATTCAGTGTTAACCAGATCCTCCATTTTAAATAAAAAAGACTGCTGAAAATTAGGAGTGGAATTTCAATGTAAATGAAACTTTTAAATAATTATAATATGATGAGCTCAATAGGAAGAAAAGTGTCATATACACTGATAACATTTGATTGATCCAAAGGCAGCCAATTTGCTTTTTCAATTTTTTTAAGTGCAGCTGAACAGAACAGCATTGTCAACTATATTGACTACTTACTTATTAATTATTAAGCATATTTTTAATCTTATCCATTATACCTTATAAGGGTGTGGACTTTTTTTAATGGCAACTTACTTACTTAACTTGCTAATAATATAGAATATGATCTAATTAAGAAAAAGACAACAAGTTTTGATTCATTACTTCGGAAGTTATACCTATTTTAAAATATATAGAATGAAGGTGGTATGGATAATGTTCTATTTACATTGACGCATTACTTTTCTTCCTGTTTTATTAACTATTTAAATATGTATGTTCTATTTGAAAAAATTAAGTTGACACACCCATAAGGTATAAGGAATGAATTTATACAAAACAAAATAATTAATAAATGCTAATGGCTAATATTAAAAGAAACACTCTGTATACAGTATTTTTATAACTTTCTATAAATTCTCCGTAAAAATTACAATATTGAATTTAATAACTGTAATAAGTATTTAATAATGTATTATAATAAAAATTTAAAACTTGTAGTTAGAATATAATATAGGAAATAGGAGTTAATATTGTTTCTGGATTAATTCCATACGTCATTTCTTCTTTAAGTAAAACACTATCTAGAGATTTGAATCGAATTGTGTTTTTATAATAGTGATTTTAATCACTACCAGATTATCTATACTAGTACTGCCTATGCTTTTCTGTGTTTTTTATGCTCATATTTTTGCTTTTTTTATTCGGTGTCAACCAAACAAAAAACATGCATAATATATCTTTAAAGAGTATATACCTATAAAAAGATCTTTAATGAAGACAATTTTTGATATGGTGACATTGATATGTCCGATTTTTTAGAGTAATGCCTTTAAATAGAGCTAATAAGGGTTCTTTTGATGTAAAATTAAACAATATTAGTCTAATAAAATCTACGTAAAAAATTTACATTAAAAATTACATCATTATAAAAATAATAATACAGTTTCAATTCTGCGTCGGAACTAAAATAAAATTGCAGTTTTATTTTAAGATTATAAGGTGTATTATATTTAAAAACTCGTATTAATACGATGATAAGAAATTTGATAAAGCAATTATCAAATAATTCGTGAAATAGTACACTGAATTGAATAACTTTAAATATTATCTTACTCTCACATGTAATAGAATTAAAACTTAAGTCTATACTTAACTTTATAACCTAAGTCTAAATTAGTAAACCAATCAAATAATTTCTTTTGTATTTATATAAAATTTAATAACTGCAGATACTTTTGGTTTTATTGAATTATTTTGTAGTAGTACTTTAAACTGCTTTAAATAATCTACAGTACAGTCGCATCTAACCTAGATCGTAGGTCGTCCTTCTGATGTTTGAAAAGACTTACGCCACATATCTTAAAGGTCTTTGCATAATGATAAAAATATTATTTGATATTTCATGTTGACATAATCAGTTATAAAATACAACTATATTGTAGTAAAAATGTTATAATAATTACCCAAGCAATTGGACAGTGTCTCTCCACTTGACGACCAAACAGTCTCTGTTGGAAATAGTGTGGGCCATTGGAGAACACTAGTATATTGTAGTTTTATACATTTACTAGTAGTAAATAATAGTATTGTGCAAAAAACGGGAATTGAGCTCACATCTACTCTAGATCACACTATGGATGACTGAAAAGACGCAAACCACTTGGAAATATTCTATTGTACAGAGCAGTAATGTTATTTAGAATCTTATTATTCGTTTTACAAATATAAATGTGTTAATATAAAATACTACACACAAGGTCAAAGAACATACCACAAAAATATACAAAAGTCATACATAAAGCCTCAAAAGAGTATTGAATTCGATTTTAATCTTAGGTAGATTTAATATAGAGTTGTACTTGAGAATAATAATACCCGAATTAATATAATAATAAGAGTCGTTTAGTTTTAAGTGCGTACACAGATGCATATGCATATTGCTAATACATGATACATGCAGTTCATCTTACAGTAGTGCTAGAAATCACAGAAACTACATTAGATGAACTGAAAATTATAATAAATACTCTAAAAATAATACAATACCCGTAAAGGACAACATAAATTTGGATTAAACATTAACAACTTTTAAAAAAATACCAACGGCTTGGAATAAGATCAAATTCATACTAAATTTAATTTCTAAGCGTATTTATTCATGTTTTGTATTATCAATCATAACACTTGTTATCAGATTATAATTAAAGAAATAGGAGTGCTTTGCTTTTGGAAAAATCAACAATTCCTTTGTTGCGGATAGATTGTTCGTCTTTCATCGACATTAACACTTCTCGGCTACACTAGTAGTGACTAATTAGCTCAAACGTCCCTACAACCTAACTACGAATATGCGGCTTACGGGTGTAAACAGAACATTATAACTAAAATAAACTTATGTTTATTTCAATTATATGTTAATAGAATACCCGTTGAAATTAGTCGACATTTTACCCCTCTCACGGCTACTCATTCTTATTCATTAACTTAATTACTTATCGCTATTACTATTATAATTAGTAAAATAATAAACGGAATTCTTTATACGCTCGCTGACTTCAACTCACCTTACTTGGAGTACAAGTCAACAACTCTTTAGATCCAGTCAGGTTATAATTACACATAATATTTATATACAAATAAATACTTATAATCGTTGTTAATTCAGAGTTTGTATTTTATTGGTCATCATACTCCTAATAGTCTTTCTAGTGGGATGAAAATTATATAGGGCCAGCGTAGCTTCGTTTAGGAACAGCATAGCCAACTATTAAGATTCAAGTGAAAAAGCACGTTGTACCTTCTAAAAATTATTGGAGCGTTTTTGTGTTAGTGATATTATTAACTATTATCATCTATATTTGTGTAATAAAAATTGATCATTTTGATTAATAATATTTAAAATATATTTGATTTAACTTTTTAGCCATTTTTGTGGCTTTTGAGTTAAATATTTTTTATGTTTTTACTTTTAAATTCATTTTTAGTTTTAAATTATACTCGTCCCAGCTATGCCGCGTCCTTATTGTGCTGATTTTTCAAAAGTGCATTTAAAAAGCTTTAATTTTATGTTGGTTTAAAGAATTTAGACGTTCTGCAACATTTTTAAAAATTATTGATATATGTAGGTGATCTTCTTTACATACTGCCTGTATTTAGGTTTCCGTTGTATTGTTATATATATATATATCATATCAAAAGGAATCATATTGTTTTTTGTGATTTATTGAAATTTCAGAAATATTTATTTGTAAGATATTTAGTGCATTTGGAAAAGTAAAAATATTAACTAAAATTACTGTTTTCAATGGCTGTCTAATTCTGACATATTTTTTTAGATAGCAAAAATTTAGGTAATTTTTTCAATTTTTAAAAAAATGTTTACACTTAGTCAAACGTGTAGTCCTTTAACTCAAGAATCAGACTAGTCGATTCAGTGAGAACTGACAATTTTTATGGATAAACACATAAAAAAAACCAAATTTAATGATAATACTTTAATTATGAACTAGTTTGTAAGATGTAACTCAGTTAATTTTTGGGTTGTACTACAAGCTTCCATTAAATTCTGTATAGAGTCAATACATATTAAACAATACAGCATAGAAAATATTAAAAATTAAATAATTCATATTTAATGTTTCATATTTCATATTTCATGATTTTTAATTATTTTGTAACTAGAATTACTTAAAGAAAATGTTCGTCGAGACACTTTTTTTAAATCGTATATTTCAATGAAAAAGCTTAAATTTAATGTAGTTTTAAACAGTAAGACTCTATTAGAATATTATCGAAAATTAAAATGAAAAAAAATGTTGATATGTCGAATAACTATTTGTAACAGCTCTTCTACTGTTCCTATATTCCCTATTCTTGTAATATTTTTAAGAGAAATGTTTTCAACCTAAACTAATGCAAATGATTTTGATGGATAACTGTACAATATTAGCCCAATAAGAGCTGCGTAAATGGGGTCGACAATATTAACATTTTACATCATTGCCAAAGCAATATAGTTAGAGCTCCACAAAAAAGCTAAAATAAAGTTCCTACTTTACTTATAAGATATAAAGAATGAACATGAAGATGACTCAATCATTATAAATTGAGAAAAACGTATTACTAGAAGAAACGAAAAATAAATTCTCAATATTATTCTGATTTTTTTATTAAGTTGCTTACGATAACAAAATAAACTTGTATATAAAATTTTCACAAATTCAATTTAATTACATTTCAAATAAATATGATTTTTTGACTTTAGTGAAACAAAAATTAAAAAAAAAAAATTTATTCAACTTATTATTAAATATTTAAACAAAAAAACATATTAGCTAGATTTATTTTCATTGTTTTCAAATAAGTGAGGATTAATTAGTTCTGGTATCATGCGATTTTCATAAAAATTAATTAGTTGGTTTTCCATATTATTTTTCCAAAATTTGTCATCACGTATTATTTTTGTATAAATCATTCCTAAGAAAATTAAAAATAATAAATTGTAGACTTTAATAATTAAAAATATTCTTGTGAAATTATTTAAGTGTCTACTTATTTTTTAAATAAATAGAATACCATTATATTTTTATCTACAATTATTTGTATACATTACAAATTCAATATTTGAATTTTTATATATTTGAATTAATATAAGTTTGTTGTTTGTATTATCTATGTATAAATATTTTTTTATCTATTAGATTATATTTATACGCATAATATATTATGTACATGTGTAGTTATAGGTGAAGCTAGACCAATGCTTTGACAATCTGTCTTGGTGTTCATCTTTTTTTGCTGATTCATTCTTGATCTTGATTTGGAGTTACTTATCTTGTCTTGGTTTTAGTCTCTTCTAGTATTAGTGTATAATTGATTATAAATTGTTATTTTATTTACGAAAAATAATATTAAATAATATACTTAATATTCTTTTAGTTTAAAATATGAACGATAATTGTTTTCATATTGTCCTGATCCTTTCGTTTCTTAGACGTTTATCAGTAAAATTATTATTTGTTAGTTGACATTGACAGTTGAAGATCTCGCGAAGTCGTATTTATGTTTTAATGTTGGTCGTACCAGGGTACCTATTGATCGTATTTGGAATTGTTTTACTGTACTAAATTGTGTTACTCATTTTTTCAATCTTATAAAATAATACTTAATATGTCCAAGGTACGCTGTACTTTCAATACAAAATTACAAAAACATTTTTTTTTTTTTTAAAAGAAACCCATTAAATAGAAAAAGTTTAATATACCGTGTGTAAATCTGTATTCTTAATAGAAAATGGCGAGTTATAAGATATCAAACAGCACTTACAAAAAAAAAAAAATATTAAAGCTCGTATTGAGTAATTCTAAAACGGACTTATTAGCATTATTTTTTATTAATTCGAATGAAAACTAACGCATGTTGGTAGATGAAGGTATGTTTGAATTTCATACTATTATTAACAAGCATTCTTATCAATTTTTGTCTTTATTGATAAAAAAAATTCATGATTTTTTTACAGTCTGACGAAAATTGAATGGATTGTGTCAAAAATAACTACTTTTTTTGGAAGGGAACAAGTTTTAGAAGAATAATAAATACTACATTTTCAACACATAAGATAGATACATCAAATCATAAAAATCTAAAACTTGTACCAATTACTCGATATTGTAATACACAAAAAGGAGTAAAAATCAAAGTGAATTCAAAAACTTACAAGATGATATCGCGGATATTATGTCTAGTTACATAATGGATATTCTAGAGAAGTACAATTTATTTAGTAAAATGGTTGCTTTTTCAGGAGATAACTGCAATACAAATTTGGTGGCATCGAAATAAAAGGAATCAAACAATTTTTTGCAATTATAAATGAAAATTTAAAAAGTCAAATATCACGTATTGATTGTGTGATTCATTTTTTACAAAAAAAATTGCAAACTAAAACGGATATTTTTAACTCAATATAAATTCAGTAAAAGTTTTTCGATAACCCTACCCCTATTGCGTAGACATATTGTAATCAAAGTCAATTGAAAGTAGTATGTGATATAATAACGAGAATTGAATGTGAAAATATTTCAACGAGTGAAGTGTATGAAAAGCTAGATGTGGTATGTAAAAAAATAAAAAAAAAAACAAAGTAAAAATTTGTTACATCAAAATAAACTTTACTTATTGAAAAATTTTATAAAAATAAGATTTACAGTAAACATAAGTATATAGACAAATTTTCTTATCTTATGTAGAAAAATAGAGTTATCATTTTGAACAGTTCAAAAATTTTCGTTAGATTCAGATATTATATATTTTTGCTTAGACAAACAAGAAAATATTAAATATTTATTTAATAATAAAAAAGTGAATCTGGATTAGAATTTGAATGGGGATAAGTTATTTATTGAATATAATCATATAATTCATGTCATACAAGTCAAAATTATAGAGTAGAAAAATTGTTCATAAAAAGTCGCAGAAAAGTGGTTTGATGTATTTCAAATACAAGAAAAAAAATAATACTTCTCTCAATAATTATTGAATACTCATTGGCCTACCTAAAAAAAATGTATATGTAGAATAACTATTTTCAAATGTATAATATACCGATGAAAAAAACTGTTTTAATATCGAACCCATAAGATCAATAATTATTGTGAAACATCACTTTAAAAATTTAACTTATTCACAATTTTAAAACATTTCTTTTGAAGCATTCAAAATTGTTGTATTCAATAAATTCTTTAGCGAAGAAAAAAAATAATGAAAAGTGTAGAAAAATCATCATCAAATTCATGAATAATGTAAGTAGTTGAATAAATATTGATATTGATTTAATAAATATTGATATTGAATATTGATAAATATGATGATAGTAAAAAAATATTGATGCGTAACGGTGTACCTATTATTAAATAATTCAATAATAAAAAATAAATTATATTATTGTTAGTAAAAAAGAGTATTAATGTTTTGAATTAATTTGTTATATTTATAATTATGTTATAAAATGCAATTTTTTTTAAGAGGTTGAGAGTAAAAACTGGTATGTTTATTTTTCTTTAAAAATAGTGACCCTTTATTGGTCTAGTCATAATCTTGGACTTGAAAAATATAATTTCACTCATCACTATACATGTGATTTGTTTACACATACCCTTGCAATATATTCATTAATTTTTCCCTCACTAATTGTTTTTTCTAAATTATTTTACGATATAACGAATAATCAGAAAGTGTGTTTAATAATTAATTTTCAATACATTTTTTACAATAGAAGACAATAAGAACCTTAGTCCATAGTAGATATTATGGAAACAAAATTTATACAATTATTGTTTTATTTGTACATTAGTTTCATGATCATCCTTATATTTTTTTATAAATATACTAGAAAAGAAAAAGAAAGGGTCTCATAATTTTTGTAAATTTTCTATACGGAGATTGGATCCACAATAATTAGTAACATTGGATTTCTGTGAAGTTCCGTTAAGGTAGCTTTATTGGGATGTTGAGAGTTATCAGAAAATAGAATGATTAAAAGATTCCTTATATCCATGTTTAATAAAATTAACAGTGCAATCTAAAATATTAAAATTTTCCCATTGTTTCTACAATAAAAGTAAACTTGAAACAAAGACAAGGAACATTAAACATTTCCAAATATTACTCATCCTTAGACATTTTACGAAAAATTCAAAGTGTTTTAGGAATACCAAACTTCCTAATCAGGTATTTCAAAATCCTTCTCGATACTACCCCATACTACTAAATTTAATACAGTCTGTATTAAACTTATTTTAATAACTTTCTTTTATCATTATTTAAAAATATAATACTATGAAATCTGATATTTAAAACAAAAACAAAACCCAATTATCTCTAGAAGTACCTTTTTGAGTCCAAATTATGAAATAACAATACTGTCTTTTTGTTATATGCAATTCTCCTTGTATTTGATAAAAACAAGTAGAACTGCGTTTAATTATGAGATTTCCATTTTTATTAATGTAGACGTATTTTATAAAATTTTTTTGAATAGCTTCTCTAGGAGTCATATCTCTTGCCTTAAAAGGACATTTCACTTCAACGATACCATACTTTCCAATCAAACCATCAGGACACGCAATTAAATAGTTCACATTTTCATCAATAAATACACCACAAGGTTGAATCTTTAGATTCATTCTGTTATTAAATTCTTTTATTGCTTCTTTTTCGTTGTTTATNGAGAGGGCGTTTTGCTACATCTTATTTTTATGACTGATAACGTCTCTCGCACTACCACCACCGGTTGTGTGAGCGATTCATTACGTTGGATGCTTACGTGCGTAATTTTTGTGACTCGCCTAGTTATTATCGGTTCTTGTGTGACATTTTTTGCGTTTTCGCTGCCATCCTTGTTCGTTTTGTTGTATGGCTCTACGGTGCTTGCGAACGCGTAGTTGTTAAAAACGCTTATGTATCACCCTTGCGATTGTCGCACCTTTGTGCGTTATTGTTTTATCGTTCCTGCGATAGGCTCATGCACTTATAATATAACGATACGCTCATACTATTCGCGACATTACATTTTGTCTGGTTCAATGATCATGCCAACAATTTCATTCGCATCAACCATTCATCATCAGTATAAATAAGTAGTTATTAATTATATTGTTTTGTCTTATTTTTATCTTATTATTTGTTTTATTTGATGCATTGTTGCGTTAGCATTAAAGGCCCCCCTACCCACATTGATATATATATGATATTTTAGTTTATGTTAAAAATACAGTTTATTGTTTTATATTCTTTCAATACATTTACTCATGATATAAATACTCCAGAAACGAACAGTAACTAACCCGCTCATCATTACCTCCCGGTACGTTCAAACATTTGGCCCTTCCAACTGGGATATTGTTATAGTAATCATGCCAAGAAAAAGTGCGAATACCGAACACGCGGAAAAGAACAAGGCGCTTATTATTGCCCGCTTATCACGCGATTATGCTCTGAAATCAATTAAAGAAATCTACGCAGTCGCAGAAATGGTTAAAAGTGACCCATCACTAATGTCCGAGTTGGAATTTCGTTCGCGCCAGCTAGATTCCCATGTTACGCAATTTCGTGAACACCAACATTCTGTGATTGAAGCTTTGGTTGACCAAGATATGGTCGAAGAATTCGAGTGTATTGATTCTCCAGTTACCGATGTAATAGAAACGCTTATTTTTTAAATAAATTCAGTATAAACGCCAACTACTTACAAAAATAGTATGCCTGCTTCTATAACACCTCAATCACAACATAACATATATTTACCGAATGTTGATTTGCCTAAATTTGATGGTAATCCCGAAAAATGGCGTTCGTTCTATGAAAGATTTGATTCTTTTGTTTCCGCTAGTAATATTAATAAAATCGACCGATTTCATCTATTATTATCATGTTTATCTGGTCCGGCGTTAAACACAATAAAATCTTACCCACTCTGCCGCTAACTATGATGACGCATGGAACGCTCTTATGGAGCGGTATGAAAACCAACGACTGTTAGCATCAGTACATCTGGATAGGTTATTTTCGTTCAAATCAATAATAACAGAATCATTATCAGTTTTATATGATTTTATTGATGTTTTCAATGACAATGTAACAGCCATAAAAAGTTTCGGTGAGGAAGATTTATCTAAGTTTTTACTTTTTTATATGGGTTTTTACTTTTTTATATGGGTGCTAAGGTATTAGACGTAGACACGCGTCGTTTGTTTGAGGCCACAGTATCGCAATCTACAATTCCAAATATAGACGACTTGATTTCTTTTGTTCGGCAGCGCTGTTGAATTTTAGAAAATATTAAAGGCTACAATACCGATGACAAAGAACGCGCAAACAGAAATAACATAATTAACAAATTCTATACACGACAAAGAACTGTATTAACAGAATCAGCAAAAAACTTTTAAAAGTGCCCATTTTGTTCAGACTCTCATCCAGCGTATCGGTGTAATGTTTTTCGGTCATATACTACTGAAAAATGATGTGAAGCCGTTGTTAAAGAGAAGTTATGTTTTTCGTGTTTGAGTGATATGCATCGCGCCGCGGAGTGCAAATCTAAGTTGTCATGTTCGAAATGCCAGAAACGTCACCATACTTTACTGCATTCTAACATCTTATTTGTTTTATTTGACGCATTGTTGCATTAGCATTAAGGGCCCCCCTACCCACATTGATATATATAATATTTTAGTTTATGTTAAAAATATAGTTTATTGTTTTATATTCTTTCAATGCATTTACTCATTTATACAGTCCACTCCCTACTTCTTTCTCCTGCATGATATAAATACTCCAGAAACGAACAGTAACTAACCCGCACATCATTACCGGGCGTTCCGTTCAAACAATATGTAAAGAAAATAATTTCTTCATTTAAGTATTACAGGCGCCTTTTATTTACCCCGCTAGATGGAACTGATAATGATAAGATAATAAAATTTTGAAGTCTTTGATAATAATAAAAAATAAAGACTGTTAATTTAGAAAATTGTTTTAATTGTAAAATAAGTAAATTGTTTTTAAAATTGTTAGATTGTTAAGAGTGGTAATAGTAAATATAAATTGTTGTTTCTTTTGTTTTACAGGTAATCTTGTAAATAATGTAAATAATATATAATAAATAACTTTTGTTTTACAGAGAAACCAAGTGTTTATTATTATCCATAAAGAATTTAACATCATATATATATATATACTGAATATTGGTTTAATGTTTGTCCCTAGTAATAGAATTACGAAAAATATTTATAGAATGAAATCAGTAAAAATAGCAAAATCGAATAAATTTCCTATCTTTAAAATTGGGTTTTTTCAAGTTCCCTCACTCCAAATTTTATTTAAATAAAAAATAAACATGATTAAAATATTTACCACAAATGTATCATACAAGTTGAGTGGTCACTTGATTTTCTGTAAATTTCACCCCTTCCCCTGAACTTTGAACTCAAAATTGGAAAAAAGATTCACTTCAGAGGAAGTTCCGTGATAAAAAATTCATGGATAATGTGATAAAAATTTTAATTTTTGATTTTATTATTTTTAAGTCCTACTGAATGTCATCTTACTACTTGTGACATACATTAAACCAACACCGTATATATATAATGCTCGTATGCGTTCAGTAAACACGCGTGTATCAACAGCGAATGAAACATGAAAAGAGAATAGAAGCTCATGATGTGTCAGCTATACTTAAAGTGAATAGTTTTAGAGGGGCCTAGTGATAAACCAAGTTGAAATAATAGAAAAATGTTCAGGTATTTCGAAAAACTACTTAATAGTGAAGAACCAATAAATATATATACTTAAGGATACAAGAAACGATGATCCCTGTCTAGTCTCATCAAATCAGAAAATTGAATATCAAAAACCAAAAGTCACCAGGGAAAGACGACCTTCAAGGAAAAGTATTAGAGCATGTTAAGAGTGTCCTCTTATAAATTAAAAATTATAAAAAAGGAAACATAGTAATCCAACTGGTTTGGCAACTTAAATAACTTTTGACTTTTTTTTTTTAAATAATTAATTTGATAGATGCATATATTAAATTCAATTTTAGCTCTAATGCAATGCTAAGAAGGTATTAATTTTACTATAATGTGTTTACTTATTAATTTTATTTTAGTGCTTGTCACTATTTTTTGTCAGCTCTATCTGGATCGATTTTTTTCCATAATACGTCAAAAGATCACAAATCGTATCTAGTAGAAGACTTAAATTTTCCCTTGAAAATTGAAAAAAATTCTCTCGTTCCCTTTAAATAAGGGCAATCGCCAAAAAATTACTATTTTGAAAATTGCTATTTTTTGACATTATTTAAACTTTTTAAAATTAAATTCCTATAACTTTTTCAAAAAGGAAAGAAAAAAAAATTTTAAGAAATAAGATTTTCTCTCGTTCACCATTAATTGTTTAAATCCCCCAGAAAATTATTATTTTTAAAATCAGTAAAATAACACAAGTTTGTTAAACCTTTTTTTTTCTTAAAATTACTACACCATAACTTTTTAATATTGAACGAAGTACAATTTTATTTTTAAGTAATTATTTTAGGTTCTTCCCAATAAATTTTTTGAAAATCTGACCCTCTACCTGCCATTGGGAAAGATTCAAAATAGAAACTTTTCCATGAAAAGTTACTCCATTCAACTTAAATTTTTGAAACTTTAAACATATGTTTAATTAAAATTCATGTTATACTGAAAGTTAAAAACAAATTGTTCCAACGATTTTTCCTCTATATGTAAAGCTCCCGATTTTGTTGTTATAATTTTCTATTTCAATTATTTATGCCTATATTTTTGGGCAAAATCATTTTTTTTTTTTACTGATTTATGCTTTAATGACTTTAACAAAAAATGCTCTAAATATGATCTATCAAATTATTTGTATCATTACTTACAAGTCATTTACGATTTGTTTAACGTCATCTTTTTTTTTCCTGGTGTGTATTATTTTTTTCAATATTTTCTCGTCATGTGTTGTAGGATTTATTGTACATGCGCGGTAAAAATAAGTAGCTCGAAGACGTTTTACTAGATCGTTTTGCCTTGTATGCAAATTTGCGCCCCTCAAAGTCTTTTTCTCATATGTTTCAATTTCGAGTTTACTTAATTTCAGACTCTTAAGAAAATCTTGTTTTTTTTTTTCAAAATCTGGATTAATTTCTATTTCTTGTTGGTTTTCTATACCGATATAGACAAAAAAAATAAAATATTCTAATTAAGTAGAAAAGAGCAAACAAATGCCAAATAGGTCTATATATTACAGTTGGATTTGAAATTTTTTTAATAATAGTCTACTGTGTATAAATAATATATACAGCATTCCACAGTAACCTGTAAAAAGGTCCAACGGAAAAATTGTGTCCAAAACTTAATATTACCGGCCACTATATATCATACTATTAATTGTCACAACAGTTTTAATTATTTACGAATTTTAAAGTAAAATAAAACTCCTTTAAGGTGTTTTTCCTGCATTTGATATTTTGCAAGAAGTAGGTTATTTTTAATATTTTATAGTATACTTGTCACAATTTAAAAAAAAACAGTTGCCTTTCCAAAAAAAAAAAACAAAAGAATTGTGACAAACCGCCCCAGTTTCGTCTATATATTCAACTAGATTATAAAATAGAAAATCATTTAATAAATAAAAAGACTTTCATCAAATGACAGTACTTATTGGACTAATATTTAAAAAGTTACATTTTTTACCAAGGCGGCAGACAAAGTATATCCGCGAAATTTCTAGAAAAAAAAAAGTTGCACCCAATGATTATATGTATGTAACTAGCAAAAGCCAAAAGAAAATTATAATTTTAAAAAAGTTAAATAATATAAAAAGAATTGTTCTTTTCATAAATAATATAAATTTTGGTGGGGTTATAACAAAATTCTTATACATATCCCTTTGAGACAAAATCTTTAGAAAACTACCGAATAAATATTACATGTGACACAGTCCATCGATGCTTCATGATACACGGTTCCCCGCAACCCACTCCACCATTACACCTGTCACCCTTCTATAAGTATTGGTAGTTTGAAGACCAACCACCACGATGCAAGTCCTGCAAGTGCCACACGACAGACAACGACCCACCACAAATAATACGTAGAGACTTCTTCCCGTCATCAAAGTGACGACATCGAAAATGTACACCACTAAGTCCAGACGTATCGCACAACCGAACTCAACAAACCGATCCGCACCAGCGCACCGTCGCCATCAACGCTTCTACCTGTTTGTCATCCGAGGACCATGCAGGACACCACGTAATTTTAAAATGGTAATAACTTCCAAATAATAAATAAAAAGTTGTTATCAACTAGTCATTTTCTTAATTAGATCACTTTTTTTTTATAAACTAGTTAAATGCTTGTACTGAAATTTAAATATTAATAATTGACAAATCAAAATATACATGTATCTAGAGAGTATCAAAAATAAATTAAAAAATTTTTTTTAATATGAATGCTGCTGTTAAAAAAAATAAAATTAACATTTTTATAAATAATAAAATAATAAAGGACGCATGTAATATAATGAATAAATGGAATTATTTAAAATTGTAAGTAATATCAAAGAATATATGAAACTAAAAAATAGGAAAAATAAATTTTTTATCATATCATTATTTTAAAAGAAATTGAGTGACTAGTGTTAAGCGTCAAATTATTAAATAAATTTAAAAACTTTATATAATATTACCTTTTTTTATTAACATATGAGATGTTCTGTCCATTTTAATTATACAATTAATTTTTAATCTTGACAAAATTTTCTTTATATAAGATTTAACATTTACAGAAACTCTGAATGGATCAAGTTTGTCTTGATATGTTTTAGTTAAAACTGAAGTAAATGTTGCAAAAAATTGATTAGATCTTTTACAATTTTCGCAAAACTCATTCATAGATGATAATAACGATGGATCATTAATATGTACTAATATGTCTTCAAACGATTTATTTTTGTCTTTTTCAAAATTTACTATATCAATAACTTTCATTGAAAAGTCAAATTGCCAAGGGTTAACCTTAAACTTGCCATAAGTAAAAAATGATATCATTTTTACAGCGTAATCTCTTACATGTTGATATCCTAATATTAATTTATAATTTGGATTTTTTTTTTTGTTCGTAATATCGTTATCAAAAATATTTAAAATGTGTAGACATAAATAAACATGAAAACATTCCAAAGATTCTAATATTGTTTTTAAGTTGTTTAAACTATTAATTTTATTTTTTCTACAAATATAATCGTTTTTGCAAGCCTTTGATAATAATGCAATATCATCTGGACTTATTAATGAATAGTTTATGTCTTCTTTTCCATTTACGGGGATCCATGTTGTAATATTGTTTTCAAATGTACTTGTTACATGTAAAAATGAATGGTCAAAAATACTGTTATAATCAGGGGGCTAAAAAGTTTAACAAGATAAATTATTATTAATGTATTAATTTTTAAATTAAACATTAGTTTGTGTTTAATATTTTTGGGGGTAACTGATAACTGAAAATAATATTTTCAGATTAAAAGTATACTTTAATATACAGTGTAGATTATGATTAGATTTGTAAAATTAATGGGTTTTTTTTATTATTCACCAGCTTAACTATTGTCATACATCCGTGTATTGATGACGCGCAACCACATATTTTTTGCTCTGACGTCAGCAATTTTTTAACTTGTTTGCAAAGCTGAGAAGGTATTAATTTTAACATGATTTGTTTATTTTTTTTTTTTTGTACTTGTTGCTACTTTTTCTCAGCTCTTTATGGACCGAATTTTCTCAACGATACTTTAAAACATCACAAATCATATCTAGTTGAAGACATTACTCTTAAAAATTGGAATTTTTGCGCTCGTTTCCCGTAAATAATGAAAATCATCAAAAAATTATGATTTTTAAAATTGGTAAATTTCTACATTTTTTAAACTTTTTTTTCTAAAAATTGCCATAACTTTTTCAAAAATTAATAAATCAAAATAATATTTTTATATTAAAACCATAGATATTTTTCTTTCATGTTATATAACTTTTTTGAAAATTTGATCCTTTATCTGCCCAAAGAGAGGGATTCAAATTATTCTACACAAAAATTTAACTTTTTCAACTTGAGTTTTAAAAATTTTTCAGAAATAATCCGAGATTTAAACATATTTTAAATTTATTTATTTATTTATAATTAAACGGGCGAACCCAATTACAATAAAATGTGGAATATCAAACATATACATAGATAATGGTTGTTTTGGAAGTAAAATATTATGTTATGATTAAATTACTAATTTATTAAGATAAGATTTAAAAGAAATAACTGAATTACAAATAAAAACATCGATATTAAATTTATTTACATGTTGCATGAATCTATTTATAGGGGCATTCTTACTATATAAAGTACGCTGGAATGACACATAAAAAGTATCAGTCTGCCTAATCGTATGACCAGGAACTAAAAAAGATATATTTGACAATAAATCTGGACAGCAAATATAGCCATTTAAAAGTTTATAAAAAAAACAAATGTCATGTTTTACCCTTCTGACTTGAAGAGTATCAATGTTCAAATATAATAATAATGGTTCATATGAAGTGTGAGGCAAACGTTGAATATTACATTTAATACTTATAAGTCTCAAGAAGCGATTTTGAATCGCCTCTAGAGAGTGAATTGGACCATACGTATAAGGAGACCTAATTACTGAATTATAATCTAAAATTGATCTTACAAAAGCGCAGTATAGTGATTTAAAGGCTAGAGGATCATCAAAATTATTACAGCTTCGCATTATAAACCCTAACACTGAGGCAGCTCTATTTTGAATATGTATGTAATGGTCATTGAATGAAACAGAAAAGTCCAGGTATACACCCAAATCTTTCACAAGATTGACTCGATCTAACTCAACACCATTTAAAAAATATTTATTTAAAAAAGAATAACGTTTTCTAATGAAAGTAATAACTTTACATTTTGAAACGTTCAAGTATAAATTATTTTTATCACACCAATTACTTATATTATCAAGATCATCCTGTAGCAATTTGGCGTCAAGTGGAGTTTTAACAATACGGAATAATTTAACATCATCAGCAAAAAGTAATATATTGGAATTGATATCATAAATATCATTAATGTATTATATTAATGTATTAATGTATCATTAAAATTTTATCAAAAAACGAATGCGGCATACCGATTCAGTAAAAATCATTGAATGTAGCAATGATTTTTTTGCAATTTTTTTTAGTTAAAATTTTGCTTTTATATAATCCACCAATTTCTTAAAATTAAACACTATCTACAGATCTGGTTCGAAGTATTTCTTATGATAGTGATTTTAATGATTGTCAGATATTATCTATACTAGTCCCAACTAAGTCACGACTTCAATTTACTGCCGTTTTTTTTTTTTTTTGTCGCGGTGAATGGTATTTGAACCTATAATCTACGATTTGTTTCTTATCTATAAGTCTGCACGAATGACTGACCTTATGTTTGCCCTAGTTTTTGGTGAGGATTCGGCGGAAAGATATAAGATAATAATAATAACATAAATAATATGACGACCAGCGAACGTCGCTCCATAAGTCTTGTGAACTTAGTAACCCGACTGTGCAAGGGCCATAGAGCTTATTGCTAAACGCGCTAAGATGGCGACAAAAATGCAATCACAAAGAAAAAACCGACAACAACTCGGTGTAGCACAACAATGGTATACGTAAACACAACACGTAACATCCATCCACGTAACGCCCGTCCTCCAAATTCCAACTTTCAACTTCTGGTGGTGGCAATAACGTCGAAGGTGGTGTCACCAAATTAACACACAATATCTCGACAGTACATTCGACCAATGTGTATTCAACAAATTTATACAATAAAGAAAAGGTGAGCACTATATTTGATCATGTCACAAGGAACCAAAAATCCATATTGCAACAATTTTAAGATGTAGACCGGTTAGTAATTATTAAACTTCAAAATTTACATCTTTTGTACTTACTTTTATATCTATTTTATCAATTACCGCATGAGCATTATATGTTAAAAGAAGTACAACAAAACCAATTTTGAAAATACCAGACAAATAAAAATTATTACTAATCATTTTTAAATTTAATCAGCAACACTTAGTACAAATATTACACCGATATGTTCGTATTGCTTGAATCAAAACTAACAAATAAATTCATACCAAGTGCAAAAAAAATTATATTATATAAAAAAAAATTTTAATATATATTTAGTATTTTAATTCATAGCATATTTTTCTATTAAAAACATATTTCATTAAGTACTACAATGAACAAATTTAAACTTTTAATTTAATTTTTATATTAAAAAAAATATTTCTTGTCGTGCCAATAGTATTTATTTCTATAACTGATTAAAAATATTAGAATATAATTTTTTAAATTCTAAATCAACCCAAAGTTAATCTGATGCTCAAGTTGTCCTAAAATAAGAAATGTTTAATTTCAATATAAATGAAATTTCTCAAAAATTATAATATGATGAAAAAAATATCTTATCAAAAAAAAACTATTGAAAAAAATTAACACTTCAATATGAACAACAAACAGGACAGTAATTCAAAAAGTTCGATTTTGAGATTATGAGGTGTTTCAATTTAGGTTTTATTCTTCTTATAAGAACTTTTACCAAAATATTGATAATTTAACTTGAATCTGAATTAAACTACTAAGAAAAAAGATAAACATATAAGGTATACTCAGAAAACTTTATTTTTGATATTCTGAAAAATGACAAAAGTGAGATTCTATCTTATTCGTTGAGTTTAATAGATTGTTTTCACAAAATATTTTAATTAATTTTTGAAAATTACCAATTATACTAATATATATATATATATATATATTGTTAATAATTAACATATTTATTAAAATAAATAAATTTTATTCAGTACATTTTAAGAAAAAAATTACATTAAACGAACAAATATTTCATTAATTTTATTTAAAAATTGAAATCTTACACATAATACATACAAAGATAAAAAATGTTCTGAATAAAATTTAGGTCAACTAAAGGTAGCCAGTAAAAACAATTTTCAAAATTAATTTTTTTTTGTTAGCTATTGAGTAGTTTATGATAGAAAAAAATCTCGGTGTAGTAACACAAAAATATATAATCAATTTATTATTAATATCTGAACAAAAAACCACATTATCAGTTTAAATTTCGTTATTTTTAAATAATAGAGGACTGATTAACTCAGGTATCATGCGATTTTCGTAAAAATCAATTAGTTGACTTTCCATATTATCATTCCAAAATTTGTCATCACGAATTATTTTTGTATAAATCATTCCTAAGAAAAATAATATTAAAATTAATAAAGTAATAAATTGTAGACTTTAACAAATAAAAATATTCCTTTGAAAGTTTTAAATATTTTATTAAAGTTTTGTATTTGTTAAATTCACATATCTTTAGAATTGTTTGAACGCAACGCACTGTGATAATTGTGCGGGTTTGTTAACTTTCGTTCTTGTTGTCTCTACATATGCAGGAGAAAGATGTAGACAAATGGACTGTATTAAATGAGTAAAATTAAAACTATATTAAAAATATTATTAATTTAAAAAAACTAAAAAATATTAAAAATATTAAACTCAAAAGCCACAAAAAAATTAATGAAAAGTCGCGGATACGTATTTCGGAAACAATGTTACCATTATCAACGCTAAACACATACTGACACCCCGACTAGAAAAAACTCCCTTATATACCCCTAGTGACCTTATCACCTAGTGACGTTATCACTAAGTAATATTATCACATTTTGCCAGTTTACACAAGTTTAATAATGAATTTTTCAGTGGGCCAAGATCCCAATTAATTAAATTGTTTTTATTTTTAAACATTTCTATTGCTTCTCTGATATTAAGTTCTTTGTAATTATTTACGTTTTTAATTAGTTTTATGGTTTTAATAGAGTGATTATGTGTCAATAAATGTTCGGCCACTGGAGATTTCTCAATTTCTTGATTTTTAATATTTCTTAAGTGCTCTTTAAACCTGACCCCTATATTTCTTTTTGTTTGTCCTACGTAACATTTATTACAACTTTCACATTGTATTTTATAAATGCCTGATTTCCCCCCTTCATCTACCTTATCTTTAGGGTTACCTAATAAATCTCTTAAATTATTACTCTTAGATGTTACCAAAGTAATACCAAAATTCTTAAATATTTTAGTTAATCCATTTGAGATGCCCGGATAATATAAAATTGGTGATCTAATTACTTTTCGTTCCCCCTCGCTGGTGAGTGTACTAGCGCCCTCTTTTCTTTTTTCCACTTTTGTTTTCGAACTAATTTTGAAATTATGTTTTCGTTATACCCATTAAATTTAGCTATTTCTTTTATAACCACCAATTCTTTATCATAATCTATTTTATTCATCGGAATATTAATTAATCTGTAAACCATACTATTAAAAGCTGACAATTTGTGTTGCCAGGTGTGGTTCGATGTGTTCGGAATGTATCTGAACGTGTGTGTGTTTTTCCGATAAATTTCAAAATTTAGTTCCCCCTCTGTTCTTTTAACTAATAAATCCAAAAAAGGCAATTTTCCCTCTATTTCTTGTTCATATGTAAATTTAATCGATGGGTAAAAAGAATTTAAATGTTGTATGAAAACCCCCATATTAAAATCTTTATTTATAACTGCAAAAATATCATCGACATACCTAACCCAAATTTTTGGAAAATCACCATAAGTGTATTTTAAATTTGTTTCAAACCTACTCATAAAAAGTTCTGCTAAAAATGGTGATAGCGGATTTCCCATTGCTGTGCCCTCAGTTTGCTCATAAAATTTATTTTGAAACTGAAAAACATTTTGACTCATACATAACTTTGTTAAATTAATAAGCTCATTTATTTTATCCTGTTCAATGTTTTGGTCCTTTAGCCAGTCTTTAAGAAAATCAATTGTTATATTTATTGGAATATTCGGAAATAAGGCAACTACGTCAAAAGAAATTAACCTGTCATTATTTTGAATGGTATAACTAGATAATTGTTTAACTAAATCAATATTATTTTTAACTGAAAAACTATCGAATTTTTTGAAAGATGAAAATACCCTTACTAGGTGTTTAGCCAAATTGTAAGTCGGAGCATTAATATTCGACACAATAGGTCTCATAGTACTTCCTGGCTTATGTATTTTTGGCAAAGCATATAGTTTAGGTATTTGAGGGTTTGAAATTTTAATGAAAAACCTGAACTTTTCTTCGATTATTAATTTTGAACTATTTATGACGTTTGTAGCCTCCCTTATCATTTTACTTAATGGATTCTTTTTAATTTCTTTATAAGGACCCTCTTGAATCATTCTTGATACTCTTTCATAATAATCTTCTTTTTTTAGTATTACAACAGAATTCCCCTTATCTGCCTTTAAATAAAAACAGTTTTTATTTTTTAAGTCTTTTATGAGTCGTGAATGTTTTTCATTTTTTCCTAAACCCCCTTTATTTATAACAGAATTTTTTTGTAGAAAATTTAAACACTCCCTTCTTGCTAAGTCTTGATTATTAAAATCAACACTTTTAACCCCCATTTCAATTCCTACTAGTAGATCTTCCATTGGAAATTTTTTTGGTAAAAAACTTGTTTTAAGACCCAACTTAAGTATTTCAGTTTCTTCAACGGAAAAAACAATGTTTGTGTAATTTTTAACTAAATCGTCCCCCCAGTTTTTAGAAAATGAAACTACCGGACTCTTATTAAAATTATCTATTTGACCCTTATTTTTGTATTCTGAAAGTAAATTTTGAAATTTTTTATTTAACTTTTCTTTTTTTGTTTTAAATTTATGTTCAACCACTTGGTACATCTTCAGCTCGAAGATGTCCCACTGTGATTGACTCAAAAAATTAGAAAGTTTTAAATGTAATTGATAAGCCCCCATTTCTAATCTACTTCTATTGCGATAATGATTTATTATTTCTAACTTAAGAAATTTCTCCTGAGCGAAATTTATTGACTTGTAAAAATTAATATTATTATTGTTTGACTTACTTGGTAATCTGGCAAACTTCGGAGTCATATGGAACTTAATACATTTTTTGAGAAAAAATANAGGTAACACTATTTTATTGATGGATGACAATTTTGTTATAAATTGATTACATAACTTGTCTAACTCCTCTGGTAGATGACTGTCCGATTCAAGGCCCTAATGCCATAGTCATTGTATAAAGGCTTTTGCCCATAACACAGTAAGTCGGAGTATACTTATAGGGTCGAAAAGTCTGACGATTGTAGTAAGCACATTGCGTTAGTATAAGGGTGATCGGATTGAATATTCGTATGCTAAATAAACTTCTTTAATCTTTGTAGTTGCTATAAAGCAGGTAATTATAAGCAGGATCGCATTTAGGAATTTTGCCGCCCTCCAAAAAGTGTTGGATTGGGTTTTTTAGTTGGCGTATTTAATAATTCCGAATATTCAATTAATTGATTTTCATTTGCCATGGTTTCAAAAGTACTATGTAGAGGATGTTCACTAAAAAATTATAAAATTGTTTATTTATAAAAAACTGAATTAACGCAGATGAGATAACATATGCTTCAAGCATTCTTTTTGATTTGTACGCCTTACCTTGGTGCAATAGAAGACGTATTTATTAATTGTTTTTCCGAATTTTCAATTATTTGATTTTCATTTGCTAGGGCTTCAAGAGGACTCTGAAGATTAGGCTNGGGCTACAAAAGGACTCTGAAGATTAGGCTCACTAAACAAAATATAAAATTTTTCATTTATATAAAACTGAAATAACGTACAAAAGTTAACATTTGATTTTTAAATTACTTTTTATCACTAGACTCATTTGAAATCTGTTCAGCTGTAGTCTCTATTTCACTTTATTTCAATTGGAGATTGATGGTCGTTGATTGCCAAAAAATGAAGTTAATTTTGTGGTTTGAGAAATGACTTTTTGTTCTTTTTCTAATTTTAATTTAGCAACTTTTTTATAAGCACTTCCACTTAAACGTTTTCTGCCATCACTCATTTTAATACGTTAATAAATAATAAAATATACAAATAAAAAAAAACACCTCAACACATTAAGTCGGTCACTTGTAGTCGAGTACTAAACACAATGAGCTGTCTGTACACAACACATTATTAGTGTGACATTATTAGATAGTAATTTTGTGAAAAATGAGACAAATTATTGTGTTTTAACTTTCTTAGTATTCCAATAATAATCGACTATCAACGGCCGACGACATCCACAAAACCAATTTAAGGGAGAAAATATCAATACTTTGTTAAAATTAGATAAAAACATGAATCAAATAAATTGCCGCCTACTTTATTTATAGTGCTGTTGATTATAAAAATACTATGTATAATCAATACTATTATCTAACTACTAACTGTAGTCTATGCTGTTATACAGCTTTGATATATCTTCTTTTACATTTATATCTTTGTACACGTTTTAAGTTAGAAAATAATAAAGTAATATTTTTTTTAGAAATAGATATTTTTGTTTCATAAAAATAAATTGTTCTGTTTGAAAAAATTTAAAATTAAATAAAAATAATTAATTTTTAAAAATTGTATACCTATTAAGATTTTTGCCGTCCGGGGCAAATGCCCCCAATGCCCCCCCCCCTAAATACGGGCCTGATTATAAGAACACCGCCAATTACTCTATATGGATATCACACAAATGGTGCTATATGATAATGGACCACTCGTTGTTAGTCCCGCGGGATTGGCGTAAACAAATTTCCTACTCAGACATTAAGTGATGGGTCACTCTTAACCATTTATGCGACCACGTAGATTTCTTTAATTGATTCCAGTGCATGATCGTTTGATAAACGGGCAAGATAAGCACCTTGTTCAATAATGAATATGAAACAATTAACTATATTAAACATAAATCACAAAATCCTATATATATATATACATATATACTAATGTGGGTAGAAGACACTTAATACTATTACCACAATGGCGCAAAAATAAATAAATAATACTATATGTAAAAGTAATAAAATATAGATAAATAATTAAGTACTTATCAATTACTGTAGTCTTGAAAAAATAACAAAAAATTTGTATTAAATAAAAAAAATCATTTAAAATTATTTATAAAAACTGTTTTTAAAGTACTTAAAATATGATTAAAATAGAAATAAATGCTATAAATTAAAATACTAATTTTATCTAAAGTAAGTTTTTAAACAAAAACATATTTTTTTCACCCTTCTTAACTAAAGACAGTAAATGAGCTTAGCCAATTATTAAAAAAAATGTATTTATACTTCATATTTCTATTTAGAACAATATTTTTGTTAATTGTTTAAATAAATTTGTTTTAATTCAATTCATATAAACGTAGATTCAGATCTTATATTTATTATAATTGTACTTTGAGAGTCACTGAGTAAATATAAAAATGATTAGTAATAATTTTTATTCGTCTCGTATTTTAAAAATTGTTGTTGTTATAATTTTTTTAATATACAAAGTTCTTGCGGTAAATGATAAAATCGATGTTCAAGTAAGTCTAAATGATTCATAATTATTATAATAGAATTATCTCTGAATTACACTTAACGCAAATCTTTAAAAAATGTATAAACATTTTCATTTAATAATTAATAGAATAGTGTAATTGATTTATTATTGATTACTAGACTTATTCTAAAATAACCATCTAGAGAATTTTTTTTTTTTTTGGCTTATTGAAGTAGCAATAATTTTTCAATTTTTGAGAGATTAAATTTTATTTTGGGTGTAACCCTTAGAACGTTAACAACTTTATTTTTCTAAATGGATGTTTCCTTCAGTTGATATAATACACAAATTAAATTCAATTTAAAAAATGCCGGTTAATAACAATCTTTGAACTAGTTTTTGAAAATTTGTTTTTTTAAGAGATAAAGCGTAGCCATAAATTATATTCAACTACTCGAAATTTTACAAATAAAAGATACTATAAAAAATGAAAAAAAATTATTTTAAGAGAATTTGATGGATAATTCTACAAATATAAAATAAATTAAGAAATATTAAAGTAAACATTCCATCTTTATAATTAAATTGGAATTGTCAGTCAATCTTAAAAAATCGATTACAAAATTGTATTGGTTACTATTGTTCTAAAATGTATTATCTTTAATGAAATAATTTGCTCAATTTTAAGCCGTAGTTTGTAAAACTTCCACAAAATTGGGCATAACTTTATCAAGTAAATTTTTGGTAAAAAAAATTCGTTATTTTATGAAATTATTAAGGGCAGAATTCAAATACAAGATAATTCTTTTAATGGCTACAGTTAAAAGAATTAAATTTTTCTAAAAAAAAATTTTTTTTGAAAATTTTCCTATCGATTTAGTTACAGATATTTTTCCATGTAATTATTATCAAATAATTTTTAGGACTATACTTTATATTTTATACCAAAGTACACAAATTTAAAAGTCCAAAAATTGTTATCAAGTCATTTTCTATTTATAAGCAAGTCTAACACGTATGTCGCCGTTAAAAAATTGACGCTCTTACATGTTATAAGGGATGGACAGGGTCAGGCCAAGAAAAAGCAACACATCATAGTAAAATTAATACCTTCTTAGCTTCACATCGAAGCTAATATACATACATTTTTTTTGAATAAGATGTATTTTGTTTGAAAATATATTATATTGTATTATAATAATATTATATGGGGATCGTAACATATGATTGTCCTAGGATACCAATGTTAGTTATTGCGGAACAGAGGGTGGACATAAAAATTATTTTAAAACAGATAAATAGAAGTATATATGATACTAACAAAATCGAAAAATTTTTTTCAAAAAACTGATTTTTTTAAGAAAAATCTCGTGGTTAGCCTTAATAGATTTACCTTGCATTATCTTATTGAATATATACGTTAAAATTAACATATAAGCAAAAAAAAATGATTAATTTATTCTATACAGTATAATAAATAGATTTGCTTAATTTTGTTAGTTCAATAAACTAAAAATCATAATATGACATAAAAAAAATAACATTAACCTAACAGAAATTTATTTTGTTGTACATTTTAGCCCCCTGATTATAACAGTATTTTTGACCATTCATTTTTACATGTAACAAGTACATTTGAAAACAATATTACAACATGGATCCCCGTAAATGGAAAAGAAGACATAAACTATTCATTAATAAGTCCAGATGATATTGCATTATTATCAAAGGCTTGCAAAAACGATTATATTTGTAGAAAAAATAAAATTAATAGTTTAAACAACTTAAAAACAATATTAGAATCTTTGGAATGTTTTCATGTTTATTTATGTCTACACATTTTAAATATTTTTGATAACGATATTACGAACAAAAAAAAAAATCCAAATTATAAATTAATATTAGGATATCAACATGTAAGAGATTACGCTGTAAAAATGATATCATTTTTTACTTATGGCAAGTTTAAGGTTAACCCTTGGCAGTTTGACTTTTCAATGAAAGTTATTGATATAGTAAATCTTGAAAAAAACAGAAATAAATCGTTTGAAGACATATTAGTACATATTAATGATCCATCGTTATTATCATCTATGAATGAGTTTTGCGAAAATTGTAAAAGATCTAATCAATTTTTTGCAACATTTACTTCAGTTTTAACTAAAACATACCAAGACAAACTTGATCCATTCAGAGTTTCTAAAAGTGTTAAATCTATTATATCGAGAATTTTTTCAAGATTAAAAATTAATTGTGTAATTAAAATGGACAGAATATCTCTCATGTTAATAAAAATAGGTAATTTTATACAACGCTTTATTTACATATGTTACGTTTTAAAATTATTTTATAAACCTGTTTATTTAATTAATTTTTCATCTAGTATTTAGTCAGTTATTTCTTACTGTTATGGTTTTGAGGGATCCGTACAAGAATGTTTTTATGACTGCCTCCAATATTTTTCTTCTTTATGTTATTTTCTTTTGTGAAAATATCAATGTACTGTATACATATAATAATAATAATAATATGTACCGAGTACATAATTTATACTAACTGGTAAAAATTGTATTAATTAATATTAACTATTTTTGGAATTATCAAATATTAAAAAAAAATTTAATTCACTTTTTAATAAATATATTGTACAGGTTTATACATCGTTAATAATTTTGTTCTAGCGAATATGTAGTTTTTAATTTTTTTTTAATAATTGTTACATTTGAGTATTACGTTAAAAATATATTTTAAACTTTTCGTATCTAATAAGAAAAATCATATATTAATAATTTTTAATATATTATAATGTCAAAATAACCATTTTTGGCTTTTTTCGAAAAATATTGGCGAGTCTATATTATCTTTAGAATAAATATTTATTGAGTTACGAGCATATTAATGTACGGAGTAGGTATTTAGCGCCGGTGGTTTCAGCTTTTGTTTGTGTTACTTATAACGTATAAACCGGCCTGGCATCATGCTAACTTATTTTCTTAAAATTCTTATAACTCAATGAGTGCTTATTATAAAATTTATATCGATCAATTCATATTGTTTATAATAAGAAAACTAACTTATAAAAATTATAATAATAATAATTTTTATTATTAGAAATAATTAATAAAGAATATTCATTTAACATAGTAAAAAACCGTGAAAGTTATTTAAAATAAAATGAAACACAAAATATTTACTCTAATAAAGTTTTTATGATATTAAACCTAGTTGGGTCATCTTGTATATGTATTCCCATATTTAGAGGTAGTCCTCTCTGACTAAATAATGACTAAGAAAAAAAAATTGTGGAATAAAAGCATTCAAATGAGTAAATTAGCATGATGACTCTCAATGATATGCTCTTAAATAATTTTTAGGTTAATTTTTTTCAGTAACCGAGTTAGTTTAATAAACAAATTATTATTTTTTATACAAAAATTATTAAAAAATCCTTCCTATTACTCCCTTAATTTGAATATAACTAAAAATTTGAAATACTTTTAATTGATGTTATTTTTCTTGAGCTATTACAATTCAAAAATTGTTTTATTTATTTATTCATACTTAAAACCTTATGTTGTAAAACAATTTATAACAAACAAGTGTTCAGTTAAATTATTTGTGAAAATTTCGTCATTATTTGGTTAGTATATTTAAAAATATTTCTATGAGAAGTTTGTGAACATTACTATATTTTTTAAAAATTAATGCTGATCATCTCGACCCCCTTATCCTATTATTATTTTATAAAAGTTTTTGAGGATTAGAATAATTTTAATATGATTGTTTTTAAAACCAACTTGATTTCAGTTGAAGATTAAGTAGAAATATAATTCAATAAGATTCCTAAGTTATTTATTTTATTAATTAAATTTCATAAAATTTTTCCTAAGGAATTATTTTTAGTGAAAAGGTTTAAAATTATTACGTCTCTAAATTTCATGCAAACTTATATTCCAAATATTATTGAATACATATATCAGTATTTTAGTATTAAATTTGAAATAAATATATGCATAAATTAAATAATTCTTTAAATCTTTAGAAAATTATAGTGACTAGTGGTATAAATATTTAAATGTCAATTTAATACTTTAAAGTGTTTTTATTTAAATTGAAAATTTTATTTCTTTTACAAGATTTTAAATTATTATGTAAATTATTAATAAATTGCAATTATTTATGTAACCCAAGTCTGGTAGTGATTAAAGTTATTAAAATTTTCTATTTAAATTAGTAATGACTATATTTAGACCAAACAGTAAAAACATAAAAGGATGGAAGTAAGGTATCCCATTTATTAAAAATATTATCTTATGTACAAAAAAAATAAAATAAGAATCGATCTAGTATTTTAAAATTTACTAACAATTTAAAGTAAAAACTAGAGTTGAAGCACAGATACTACTATTTTTTCAATAGTTATTTTTCGGTCACACTTCTCCACCTGCTGAGGTATAGAAATTTAAATAATTTCTGTAATTTTGGTAAAAAAATTGTTATTGACCAATCATATTCTAAACTAAATCATTTTCTATTATATAATCTAGTTAAATATGCATGTTTTTAAAAAATAAATATAATACCCCTATAAGATAAAATTTTTATAAAAGATAATTATTCATAAAAGTAAATACATATGTAATTAATAAAAGCCAAAAAAAAAAAAATTGAGTATCTAACATTAAAAGAATCACACGGTGTTTATTTTCGCTTGTAAAAATGTCATTAATTAATTAAGTTACTTACTTGTATATTAAGGTAAATAACTTATTACCAAAATCATTATTTTAAATATTGAATATCTAAAATCGCATTCTGAATTTGTGATTTTAAATAAAAATATCGTATTTGACCACGAAAATATTGACTGAAAAAATTGTCCATAAAGTAATGATATTAAAAAAATAGCTTGGATGTAATGTCAAAAAAATAAAAATTTGATCTTTTTAATATTTAAGCTATAAGTAATTATACAATAATTACAATATAATAATTTAAAGAATACAAAGTATTAATAAATATCAAGGCCTTAATTATTAATATTAAGTGTTCTTCGATATAAATAATTTTGTAGATAGTAGTCATCCAAAAAGCATATGAAAGAGAGGCTTTAGAATTTTTCTCTTCTGTCGTGCATTTAAAGTTTTTCTGATAAATAACAACAGGTTGAATCGACAGAATAGTGTTCACTGTAAATTAAATATTTTTTCAATTTAAACTATTGATTTATTTAACTTTGTATATTATTGCTTGTGAACATTCTGTAAATTTATTATTTTTACTATTGCTCATTTTATTATGGACATTATAACCACAATATATTTTCTTTTTTACCCATTTTAAGAGTAACTATGGAATGTTATATATATTTTATGCATACAGAATGTTATAATTAGAACATTTTTAAAATCAAACGTAATAGTTCGATATTTGGATTTCTATACCTATTTTATTTTATATTTACTAAATTAATTTTTTTTATCTATATTGGCATAGCAAACCAACAAGATATAGAAATTGACCCAGATTTTGAAAAAAAAAAACAAGAATTTCTTGAAAGTCTTAAATTAAGTAAACTTGAAATAAAAACTCACGAGAGAAATACCGCTAATCACATAAATTTGTATTCAACTGTAAAGCATCTAGGAAAATGTCTACAAGCTAGTTATTTTTATCGTGCATGTATAATACAGCCTACAACATGTTGCAAAAAAGTATTAAGACAAACAATGCACATCTATAAAAAAAATAAGATTATTTTAACTGATGAATCCAAAAATAACTTGTAAGTGTAGACACGAATAATTTGATTAAAATTGAACATTTGTAGCTTTTTTTTGTAACTTAATATTTAATTTTTAGAAGTAATGTAAACTATGGTAAAATTAACGAAGAAGTAGCTATAAAAGAATTTAAAAAAAAAACTAATATAGAGATTGAACCATGTGGTGTATTTATTGACGAAAATTTGAACTACTTAATTGCAAGTCCAGATGGTTTGATTGGAAGTGATGGTATCATTGAAGTAAAATGTCCTATTAAAATCAGAGACAGGATTCCTCAAGATGCTATTAAAGATAATATATTAAAATACGTCTATTTTGACAAAAATGGAAGTCTATTACTTAAACGTACTTCTCGACAGTTTTATCAAATACAAGGAGAATTGCATATAACAAAAAGACAATATTGTTATTTCATAATTTGGTCTCAAAAAGGTATTTCTAGATATAATTGGCATTTGTTTTAAAACATCATATTTTATAGTATTTTATTTTTAAATAATGGTCTAAGAAGGTAATTAGAATATGATTTATGGTCGAGCTTCATTATTGTTGATCCTATCTCCTTTGTTGTTCCTGAATGATACAGAAAAATATATGAGCATTTATTATTATTATTAAAAATGTTTATCAATAAGAAACGAATAATAATTAAATAATAACAACGATTCCATATGTATTGCATGTAGGGATATATAAGAAGGTGTTTATATTCAAAGCGTTAGTATGTGTTAGCGTTGATAATGGTATCATGGTTCCTGAAATATGTCTTCTTCTTCTTTTTCTTGTCTTTATCCTAACTACTTTGGAACGGCTACACTTATCCTAAATTTTCACTGCACACATTGTCTTCGCTCACATCAATCGTCCTCATATCAAATTCAATAACATCTCTCTATCTCNCGATCTCCCACATTGTCTTCGCTCACATCAATCGTCCTCATATCAAATTCAATAACATCTCTCTATCTCTCTTTTGGTCTTCCTCTACCTCTTCTTCCTCCAACATTTATTTCCATAATTTTTTTAGGGCTTCCGATTCCATCTTCTTCATAATATGACCAAACCATCACCTATACTATACTAACCATCATATACATCAATACTACCTCTTACATGATCGTTCCTTATCCTATCTTCTCTAGTCACTCCACTCGTCCGTCTAAGCATTATCATCTCTGTTCTATTCTCTTGTCACCCCTCCATCTCTTTTTTGGTCTTCTTCTACCTCTTCTTCCTTTTATAAGAACATTTATTTCTATAAATGTTCTTACAGCATTCGAATCTTCTCATAAAACTCTGAACCATACATCATAGATGGTCTCACTAGAGTCTTATAGATTTTACCTTTCAGCTTCATTGGAATTATTTTATCGTATAACACACCAGACGCTTCTCTGCAGTTCAACTACCCGCACTTAATCCCGTGTCTGGCATCTTCGTTAATACCACCGTTCTTTTACACAACTGATACAAATGACCTAACACTTTCCAGCTCTCCTATAAAAATATATAAGTGTTTATTAATGTTAATTAATAAAAAACTATTGTATAAATAATAGCAACAAATGAATTTGTATTGTCTCCATAAATAATAGTAGTTGATAGTATACTATTGACTATTGTTATTAAGTCTTAGTACAAAAATATATCAATGGAAAATGAATTGTTAAACATATACTCCAGGAAAACTAAAATTAAAACTTCCCAAAAATGTTCCGCAATCGAGATGGCGATTTAAATATTTGTACTCAGATATTTAAATGCAAATAATAAACATAAAAAGAGGAAATTTATTTATTGAAATTGCAATACATAAAAAAAAATTGTATATATCCTTTCAGTTTTAATATGTTTTGCTGTTACACTTTAACTCTTGCCAAATCGTTCAAGCTACCATTTCATGCATAATAGTTATTTTTTATATAGTCAACCGCCCTAGCGATTCCCGTGTGCCTTTATACACAAATATTATAAAATCGCCTGTACCCATGTATATCGTGATATCATCGCCTTGTGATTATCCACACCTCAGTGGTGTTGATGAATTATATTCGACTTTTAATGACAAAGTAATCCATTCAAGAACAATTCAACCGAGCAATTTTTCAAGACTAATTGATAAGTAGGGTAAGATGAGGTAAGATGGCGAACGGGGAAATATGACGAATTCAATGTTTCTCAAAAGCAGTATATCATATTTAACATAAAAACCTCATATGGTGTCCATGATTACTCATTAGTATAAACATACATGCACGAACTAAAATTTAAGTTATTATAAGAAATGGGAATTTAACGTATGTTACTGTAATTTTTGAGCTTTAAAACGCAAGGTATTATCATTCTAAGTTAAGATTTTCAACTTTCTCTTTTGAATATTCTGAAAGTACTACTAAATACCTTCTTTTTTTTCATAACCGCGTAATTGTGGGCTGCCTTGGAACTGTTGTTAGGTATTACTTCAGAGCGGCCCACACCGTCTTTATAATTCACACCACCACGTTGTGAATCACCCCGAAATTAATCAAGAGCTGATTCGTAACATGGTGTGGCCCCCTCCCATTAGCTGGATCCGAGAGTGAGAACCGTTAGGGAGGGTTGGGAAAATAACTCACAAAACAAAACACAAAAATAAGAACCTAAGACAACGGCCTAAACCAGCGCCTTGTGCCGATTTCCGTGGCTGCCTCTTCTCAGCTTTCTCCTTCTTTTTCAAGATGGATTCAGCGAACACCTGGACGTGCAACCATGCATCCCGGCTAACCAACTTCAGGTCCACCATGGACCCGACTCAGAACTCCAAAGAGTCCCGCTCCTGGGCCCACGCCTCCCACTGGAAGAGGGTGTGCAGAGCGCTATCCGAGCAGTGATTGCACGTAAGCGCGGCTGTTTTACGAATACGATGCAAGTACCCGTTAAAACAGCCGTGGCCAACGTTAGTAATTTTATTGAGTTGCTTAGAGAAGTCAGATTAAAATACTAATTCATAGCTAAAAAAATCTACAATGTTGACGAGATATGATTTTCCATAGTGGGGTAACAAAAACTCCAAAAGTCATCAGCCCCATTGGTACTCGCCGAGTGATAAAAATTACGTCAGCCGAACATGGGGTGTTGTGATCTCGATTTGTTACAAATTACTTGGGTTAGTCTTAAATGTGTGAGTTGTCGGCAAACGGTGTCGAGTTATCTGTTATAATATTATTGATGTAATTAACCTGAAGTATCATGGTTAGGTTCTTAAACTTATTGAGAAGGATTTAAGATAAGGGTGGTCTTATATATATTATTAGATTACCATAAGACTTTTACTTAAATCATTGAATTATATAATATTACATCATTGCTAATCCTTAAGTAACTCTTTGAAAATCATATGTAAATTTTTAGAATCAAAACGTATACGTATTTATATTTAATATAGTTAATTGTTCTATATTCCTTAAATACATTATACTCATTTAATACAGTCCATTTGTCTACATCTTTCTCCTGCATATGTAGAGACAACAAGAACGAAAGTTAACAAACCCGCACAATTATCACAGTGCGTTGCGTTCAAACAATTCTAAAGATATGTGAATTTAACAAATACAAAACTTTAATAAAATATTTAAAACTTTCAAAGGAATATTTTTATTTGTTAAAGTCTACAATTTATTACTTTATTAATTTTAATATTATTTTTCTTAGGAATGATTTATACAAAAATAATTCGTGATGACAAATTTTGGAATGATAATATGGAAAGTCAACTAATTGATTTTTACGAAAATCGCATGATACCTGAGTTAATCAGTCCTCTATTATTTAAAAATAACGAAATTTAAACTGATAATGTGGTTTTTTGTTCAGATATTAATAATAAATTGATTATATATTTTTGTGTTACTACACCGTGATTTTTTTCTATCATAAACTACTCAATAGCTAACAAAAAAAAATTAATTTTGAAAATTTTTTTTACTGACTACCTTTAGTTTGCCTAAATTTTATGTATGTATGTATGTATAAAAATATAAGCGTGTTAATAAATATAGGTTTTTATTTAACTTTTGGAAATTACTACTAAAAACTTCTCTTGAAATTTTTATTCATAAAAATAAATCAAAATTTTTTGATAAAAATATCGGCAATAGACTTCATAAATCACGCTTTATATAAGTATTCAATTTTTATATAAAATTAATGAAATATTTGTTCATTTAATGTAATTTTTTTCTTAAAATGTACTGAATAAAATTTATTTATTTTAAGATCTTTAATAAATATGTTAATTATGAACAAATAATATATATTAGTATAATTGGCAATTTTCAAAAATTAATTAAAATATTTTGTGAAAATAATCCATTAAACTCAACGAATAAGATAGTATCTCACTTAAGTCATTTTTCAGAATATAAAAAATAAAATTTTCTAATTATACCTTATATGTTTATCTTTATTCTTAGTAGTTTAATTCTGATTCAAGTTCAATTATCAATATTTTGTTATAAGTTCTTATATCTAAAAAAAAACACTTAATAAATAACATTAACATAAAAAAACCCAGCACAGGGGGGTCGCGGCACAGTGGTGACGTGGCATAGTTGGATCAAGTATAATGATATCTGACAAGATATGATGAAAAGAGATCCCTCTTTTATAAATATTATTTCTCATAAAAATTGTATTGATGTAAAATGTAAAAAATAAAATCAAGTATTTTNGAATTATTCCAAAAGCTGCTAGTTCCTTATTAATATCCTGATTAAGATAAAGTATGTCGAATAAAAGAGATCCCTCTTTTATAAATATTATTTCTCATAAAAATTGTATTGATGTAAAATGTAAAAAATAAAATCAAGTATTTTCACACAAAAATAGCATTCGGTAGTCATTTTCACCATGAAGACAAAATAAAGTCCGAAATTTTTTTTTTCATAATAATGTACATTACATTAGCTTTAATTTAAGATATATATAAAAGTGTCAGACTTTCCGGAACACTTTCAAGTTAAGTTGAAAAAATTAATTTTCTGTGAAAAAGTTGTCATTTTAAATCCCCCCCTGTGGGCAGGTAAAGGGTCAGATTTATAAAAAAAATATACCAAATGATAGGNTAAAAGTTAAGTTGAAAAAATTAATTTTCTGTGAAAAAGTTGTCATTTTAAATCCCCCCCTATGGGCAGGTAAAGGGTCAGATTTATAAAAAAAATATACCAAATGATAGGTAAAGACATAATGCATCTATAAAAATTATATTTATTTAATTATTTTTAAAAAAGTTATGGCAAATCTTTAGATAGTGTTTAATTTTAAAAAATTGGTGGATTATTCCAAAAGCTACATGATCTGCTATTTCCTTATTTATATTCTGATTAAGATAAAGTATGTCGAATGAAAGAGGGATATAAATATTATTTCTCATAAAAAAATTGTGTTGATACATACACTTTTCAATAAGTTATAGCATTATAAAGTTAAAAATGTAAAAAATAAAATCGATTATTTTCACACAAAAATAGCATACGGTAGCCATTTTCACCGTCAAGACAAAATAAAGTCCAAAATTTTTTTTTTCCCTAATAAAATACATAGCTTTAATTTAATATATATATATAAAAGTGTCCGACTTTCCGGAACACTTTCAAAAATTAAGTTGAAAAAGTAAATTTTTTATGAAAAAGTTGTCATTTAAAATTTTATGTTATAAATGAAATACTAAATTTATTAAAAGTAAGTTTTTAAATAACATAATTTTTTTGTTCATTATATAGACTCATTTGTTAGTTTTAATTCAAACAATACTAACGTATGCCCTACATAATATATTAATTATTGAAATTATTTTTCAACATACTTATTTTTACATATATAGTTCTCGCGGTAAACTATAAAAGAGATGCTATATGATAATATGTTAAATTAAACACTTCATCTTTAAAGTTTACTTTGAATTTTCAGTTACCCCCACAGTTATATAAGAAGTACATAACAGTGGTTCTAAATATAATTAAAAAATTCTTAAAATAATTTTTACCCCTATTTATTAAATTTTAAACCTTCTGCGGCACGGGAAATAATCATTGGAAAATCACAAAACTTCAAAAAAATGTATTTTTTTAATCTATACAACAATTCTAGGGGGCGTTCGGGCAAAAAAAAACTTTGAATAATAAAATCGACCCTAATATATACATTACTTACAAGTAATTTTCTGTATAATGACTTCATTTTTGTGATTGGTATGTGTTATTTTTCTCAATATTCTCTCCCCACACGTTGTTAGATTTATTTTAAATGCACAAAAATAAAACTAGCCTGAAGAAGTTTTCCTTGAATTTATTCCTCTATATGCCAACTTGCGCCACTAACAGTATTTTTCTCATAAGTTTCAATTTTGAGTTTATTTAATTTAATACTATTAAGAAAATTATTTTTTTTTCAAAATCTAGGTCAATTTCTTATTTTTGTTGATTTGCTGTATCAGCATAAAAAAAATACAATTTTATTAAGTCGAAAATAAAATGGAAAAGTACACTAATACTTAATAAAAGTTGATAAACATAAATCAGTTTACAAATTCATATAATATTAATACTCTTATAACAATTGTATACAAGTTATTCATCAATGACCAAGAAAAAACTAGTATATTTTAAGTGTTACCTCTGTAACTTAAAAACAATGATGATACATAAAATCGAATTAAACCATTTTTTTAGTGTCAAAAATGATTAATGATTTTGCCATATAATTTATTTTAAAATATATTTAATTTTAGAATTTAAGATAATTTTTACAAAAATATTGTGATAATATCAAAATTTTGAGCTTTTTACCTTTTTTTACTTTGAATAACAATTATTTCAATATTTAGTTATGCTAGAAACATAAAATTACAATTTTAAAATACTTTTAAAATTTCATATTAACCACAAAAATAATAAGACTATTGGTGGTTTAAACTAAAAAAAGTTATAGGGAAAAGTTTAGTTTGGATGTTTATAAAAGACTCGCTGAAATATAAAGAAATCTCAATGTTATTTTTGTATTAATTAAGTGTCTCATGATAATAGATTCACATTGTATAAAATATAAAAATTTGACAAATTCTTTTAATTTGTGAATTTTTGTTTATTTCAAATAAAGCTGTTTCTTTAAATCCAGTAAAACAAAGATTTAAAAATGTATAATACATTAATAATTAAATATCTTAGCGAAAAACTTAATAGCTAATTAGAATTTCCTTAATTGTCCATTAATTACAATTAGTGCATGTCAGCCCTCGTGAAAACTGATTAGTTCAGGTAGCATGCGGTTTTCGTAAAAGTCAATTAGTTCATTTTCCATATTATCGATCCAAAATTTGTCATCACGTATAATTTTCAAATAAACTATTCCTAAATGAAATAATATTAAAATTAATAAATTGTTTATTTTATTAATTAAAAATATTCCCTTCAAATTATTCAATATTTTATAAAAGTTTTGTATTTTATAAATTTATATATCGTTAGAATTTTAAATGCAATTATAATTAGATAACACATTGAAAACCAATTATTATTTAAAATTAGCTTTATAAAAACATTATATAATAAATATTGATCACTTGTGTTTAATATTATTTAAAATTGAAACTATATTAAAAGTATTAATTCTAACCACAGCTGGCAACACATAATGGCAACATTTAATAGTATAATTTACAAATTCGTTAATATTTCGATAAATAAAATAGATTTTTGGCGATCAAAAGGTCTCTTACATATGACAATATAACTGTCATAACAAAAAAACAGGAAATAAAAGCGTACGGAGAATATGATGAGGATTAGCCTACTGTCTAGGTATTCACATGCGTACAGCAGTCACCGTGCTCGGCTGATATTTTGGGTTAGCTGTGGGTGTTGAAAGTCTGTTGTTATAGGAAGGAAATAATGGTAACTATAGGTATGAGGTGCAGACGAAGTGCAAGACACAAATAATTTGGGTATAGGAGTGGACAAATAACAGGGGTAGCCGAGTATGAGATGCAGACAATGTGCAAGATACAAGTACTCTGAAATGTCGAGGAAAAGAATAGATAGGTTAAAAAGGAAGAATAGGTAGAAAGGAAAAACAAAGACTTTACTTTAAGCAGTAAGCCGGACAGCAACAACCGAGTACTGAGACTGATGAATGAAACAAGGCACTGTAGTCGACTGACCAAGATTACCAGGTCTTTTGGGTTTTTATAATAATTTGGACTATTGCCAATTTAGCAATAGATGTTAATTGTTAATTCATCAGTCTCAGGAAGAGGATGTGCTGACTGTATTTTATCATAATAAATTCTCACCATAATGAAAACGGGACGTAACCTTATCGTTATCAAACACAGCTATTGTTGTTTTATTGTTAGTTGGAATAACATAATTGAAATAAATATAATTCGTGCATAACTTCAATTTAAAATTTTTGTTTAACCTATTTTTTTTTTCCTTTAAAGTTGAATTTTATGAAAGTTTATATTTTAAAATTTTGAATTTTTAAACACTATTATAGTTCAACTTACAAATTTAGATATCATTAAATAAAAAAATTTATGACAACTTAAAAATCGAATTATTTAGATTGATATATGATCAGAAACTTATATAATTATTATTAACAATAAATTTATAAGGAAAACTCATAAATTTGTTAAAATAAAAACCAAGATAATGGAGTTTAATTGTATTTAAATTGAGTTATTATCCGTTAAATAAATTAAATAAAATTCTCTGTAAATACCTTTTTGAGTCCAAATTATGAAATAACAATACTCTCTTTTTGTTATGTGTAATTCTCCTTGTATTTGATAAAACTGTTGAGAATTGCGTTTGAGTAATAGACTTCCATTTTTGTCCAAGTAGACGTATTTTAATGCATTATCTTTAATAGCATCTTGAGGAATCCTGTCTTTGATCTTAAAAGGGCATTTTACTTCAACGATTCCATCACTTCCAATCAAACCATCAGGTCTTGCAGCTAAATAGTTCAATTTTTCGTCAATAAATACACCACATGGTTCAATCTCTATATTAGTTTTTTTTTTAAATTCTTTTATTGCTTCTTCTTCATTATTTATGCCATAATTATCACGATATCTAAAATTTAAAATAAATTAATGAAAAAATACTTTAGGTAAATTAGTTTCAATTTAGTCATATCATCACATACAAATTATTTTCGGTTCTATTAATAACAATAAATTCTTTTTTTTTATTGTTGCGCAACATTTTTTTTAATATTCTCTTGCCACATGTTGTTGGCTGTATTGTACATACACGTTGAAAATAACTAGCCTGAAGACGTTTTCCCATATCATTTTCTCTTAATCGCCAATTTGTGGCACTAGCAGTATTTCTCTCATATGTTTCAATTTCAAATTTACTCATTGTAATACTCTTAAGAAAATCACGTTTTTTTTTTTCAAAATCTGGGACAATTTCTATTTTTTGTGGTTTTGCTGACCAATATAGACAAATTAAAATTTAATTTAGTAAAAAATTGAACAAAATAGCTTCATATAGAAAAACTAGATATATTTATGTAGATATACTGTTTGAGAAATTTTATTTTATAGATTATATTGCACTATTTTAACTAATATCTTAATGAGATAAAAATTTTATCTCATAAGAATTATATCCTTTCCAAATTTTATAATTGTTTTATTTTTTTACTAAATATTTTTTTTTTAATCGCATTCCACATTTAATTTTTAAATATATTATGTGGATTACATTTTGTAGAATGTTTAATATTACTTTAACATAAAATAAATATTTTTTATCATCATTATTAAACATATAATAATACAATTATTAAGCCTTTAAGATTGATAAGTATTGTAAGGTCTATCATAAAATAAATGTTGCACGGTATATTATAAACCACTCGATTACTCAGAAAATAAATTCAATATTGAAAACAGTTTTTTATATCCTTTAGTTATATATATTTGTTGATTTATCAGCCATTAATTACTTTTTAGAACCATCCTCTATTATTTATAATTTAATTATATTTATAAATTTAATTTAATTTAATGTAAATTTTAAACTTATTATTATCAAAAAATAATAATTTTTTTTTTATCAATAAAAAAACTATTCTGAAAAATTTTGGAGAGACCAAATTCATGTAGCTATTCCATACCATAATCATAAATACAACCCAGAAATTAAGACAATTTCAATAGACAAAAAAAATACAGTATGGTCAAAATTTAATGGACTAGTTAATTTTTTGTTGAATTAAATAATATTAGTCATTTTTTAATGGTTTTTTTAAAATAAATTTTTCTCAGTTTACCAATCATGAAGAATATTTTGTGTTCATTAATATGTATAGGAGTTTAATAAGCAATATGTAATAGGAGTATCAACTTTTTTTTTTTACACGCCAACATACATAAAAATATAACTTATAATATAATCTAATTAAGAAAATGTCTCATCGATAACAATGTTTGGACTAGTGCTCCGGAAATTATTCACATTTTTTTTACTTTCTTCATCATCTATTAAAGACAATGCCGTTGAAGCCACTCCTATCTGCTTGACGCCAAATTCTACATTGAAACAAAATATTCATATGTTGATGTTCAAAGACAGTTCATGAGTTCCAGGATATTTTCAAAATATTGTTTCCTTAGGTGTCCTCTTGGTATCTTCCCAGTTATTTTTCTTCGAAAATGTTGATTATAAAGTCATTGTGCCAGATAATGTGTCTGATTAACTTAATTTTTCTTGATTCAATCACCTTCATCAACTGTCTTTTTTTTCATACTTCATCTAGCACCTTTTTACTTTAGCTTTACTTTTACTTTAGGAGAAAAATGCGATCAAGAAATGTTTACATATAAAAAGAATGGGGGCTCCAATTATTGCCTGAACTTTTAAATAACTTATAAAATACTTCAAAAGTTGTTAGAAACCAGTAATTTTTATTAGATTAATTATCTAATAAATAAAGTAGTTAATTATATAGGTTACCATTTGAAAATATCAAGTGATATCCCTATAAGATATAAAATATAGTTCATGTTTGATAAATTAAAGAAATATCGAACTAATAGAAACAAAAAAATTATTTCATAACATATAAATGAGTTACAACTAACAAAAGCCAAAATAAAATTATTATTTAAAAATAAGTTAAATGACTAATGCTTAGAAAAGTCTCTTTTTTATAAATAAGAGACATTTTAGAGGAAATTATAAAAGAATTCTTATACAACTCCTCCAAAAACATTACAATAAGAAATGTCTTGACTAAATACTATGGGTAATATAAATTAAATAAGAAAAAATATTTTATAAATCAATTTAAAAAACGTATTTTATGTAACTAAATATAATTTAAAAAATTACCTTTTTTTATTAATAAATGAGATATTTTGTTCAATTTAATTACACAGACAATTTTTGTTTTCAAAAATATTTTCTTCATATTTGATTTAACATTTCCAGAATATTTAAATGGATCAGATTTACCTGG